GCAGGAGATGGGTGTGAAATACAAGAAACTCTCGTGAAAAATGGGAGTTTGGCAGGTATAATTTAGCTACAAACATGTATTCGTTTTAGCATCCAAGATCATCACCAGCGATTGCAATGTATGTATGAGTCAACATTCCGTGAGTTTTACATTTAAAATAATGAAGTATATTATGTACAGACATCCCAAATCTCTACTACTCAAGCCAACAGCACTCCAAAAAAACAGTCAAGATGGCAGCAATAGATTGTTGAGCACGCGTATTACTATTACGGTAATCTCGTCAACCATTTTACTCAGAATAAAAAAAAATACCACATCATTCAGATTTGTTTTCAGAATAGGTTTGTCCAAGCTTTAGTATGTTTTCATTTATTTATTCAGCATAAACCTACTCTTTATAAGTACCTGAAGTGCACTTTAATTTGTCCTAGCCTTACTACGGTAACATGTCATTACGACTGCATTTTTATGATGTGGGTAAACCTCAGAAAGTGAACGAAAACCCAAGTAGACCATTTTACCTACTATCTATTAGAAACAAAGACTTTATAGCCATTTTATAATGTACCATTTCTTATTTACACTAGTATGGGATGCAGAAATTAAATGCTGATGGCTTGACCAAATTCCTCCTGCTACCAACTAATAAAAAAAAAAACACTATTCAAAAACATCTTGTAGGATTGTGTTTGCATGGGTTTAGCTGTGTCCTCTTCATTTTCTGTGTCACAACACATTAGATTGCCTGACTAATCAGAGCCCTTTGAATGCGAGCCTTATAGGAGAAACCAGGAAATATGATGGTTGTTTCCATGTTAGCTCAGTAGCTGTGTAAAATTAAAGTAAGATATGTGAACAAATAATGTTTTTTTTTTGCGCTGTCAAAATTAGTGCGTTAACGCATGCGATTCATTTGAAATAATTAACGCGTTAAAAAAAATTTACGCAATTAACGCAGTTGCAAGTTTTTTTTACTTCCTGTTGTGGTGAACGTGTGTTTAACATGCAAGAAATGTGGATAAGACCAAGGAAGCACTTTTTGAAGGCAAGTTCCAGTATAAAACAATTATTCGCATCACCAGGCTCTCCAGAGTTTCATGCAATTTCGGGTGTTTCATTTTTAACTTTCGACTTCTGTTGTAAGTTGATACCGCATGGCGAACAGAAATCCTCCGCATTTCGTGACTCGGTGTTCCTTTAAGGTAATAAAATCACTGCTTAGGCTACACAGTAGAATTTTAATAAGAGTATAATCTTAATCATATTAAAATCGGAGTATTGGTGTCTTATGTAAATGTACTCAGAAAGTCTCTGGTGAAGACGTGAGCTGTCAAAGACAGGGCATTACTCTGCCTTTCAGCATGAGCCCTCCAAGTTTAGCGAGTTTCCTCATTAAACGCAACGAAAGCGTATGCTTCGCGTTGTTGTGTCAGAATCCTTGTGAGGTGAGTTGCGCGCGACATAGGCTACCTGAAGAGCTAGGAGGGATGCGGGGGAGAGGGGTGTGCAATGTATTTAACGACCGGTTTGCAAGGAATTATCATTCATTTGCGGGCATTTGGGAGTCTCTGTGCACTTGCGTGATACTCCTAGTCTTAGCAACTGGATGAATGTAAAGGAGGATTAAGCAAAATTGTTTCTACTCTATAATTAATGTTCTCAACTCACAGCAATAAAACTTTACAATGAGTGCAACAGTTTTTATTCTCTAGTTTATTATTATAATTTTTCATTTTCCATATCTGCAATTCCTGTATTTTGGCATTTTTTTGCAGTCCACTTAGAATCCAACATGGAAATCAATGTTTTCTTAATGGGTATTGATTGTTTTGAAATTCAAATGGCATTAACATGCCTGTGTTTTAATTTCTTTAATAAATATGGCTGTCAAGCCAGGATCTTGAAGGTTTATTGTGGGTAAGTTGTTTACATGAAAAAATCTGTGTTACAAGTTAAACAAAAATTATATTAAACAATTATATTTAGAATTTTAATTCTAATAAACAATTATATTTTGAATTTAAATAGTTTTTGTCTTGCGTTTAGATTAATTTTACATTTGAATAGCCAAAATTACATGTTTTAGTATTTTAAATGTGATTAATCGCGATTAATTTAAAAAAAAAATGCGATTAATTAGTTAATATTTTTTAATCGATTGACAGCACTAGTTTTTTTTGCAAATGAGTCACGAACACACTCTGTTTTGCACCCCATAAACACAATCAAACCGTCAAAAAAACATTGTGGACCACCCCTTTATTATGCCCAAAGCAAAAGAGACTGCTCTCCGTGAAAGCTTATTGAGATTCCTTGATAAAAAAAGACAAAAGACATCTGCTAAGTCTCTACTTAACCATCCATTAGTCACTATTCAGTGCGTAGTTCCCCAGTTTCCTACAATTGCTCAAAGAAAGCATTGCTGCTTTCATGGCATGGAATTGCTAGATGGACTGGAGCTGGAATCCTTTCTGAAAACAAAATATTTACCAACTAAACTTGTCTGTCTGTGTACAATAGGTCACAATTACTCCAGTTTTAAGCTATTTTGGCCATATTTACACGTCATGGTTCAAGTGACCCAATGCAGACTTTTTCTTCTCATGTGGCTCAGATCAAATATGGCGTACAATATGTACATGTAAGCAGGAAAAAAAAAAAAAATCACACGGGCTTGCATTGCATATCAGAATCCATATGATTTTGTTCCCTGCTCACACTATCAGTTTAGGGCATCATTGATATGTAAAAAATAAATTTGAATCAGATAATGCGAGAACAGAGAACGCGTCCTTTGAGGAATGAGATGCTGCCTTATTTCTGATGGTCACATGACCTTCACGCTTTTTAATGATAAATTATTTAAACATTACAACATTCATACAACGATTTATTGTTTTTCCCCTTTTCAAAATATATACTATGCATAAAGACTTTACAAATATACGTTGCACAATGTAAATAAAACATATTTTAATACGAATTTCAGCAAATAAACACATTTAATGTATTTATTCCTTTATTAAGATGTTCATGGTAATGTTTATATTCACCGTTTCCTTTAGGGAAACTCCTGAGGTAAATAAGTTATATCTCTGAATTTTAATAATGAATCTAAATAAAATGCTGCACTTCCCACCTCCAGTCGCAATGACTTCGGGGACTACTAGAGCGAGAGCGGTATCAAGAACACATCCGGTAAGTTTCACGCGTCCTCTGTACTTGCGGTCTTGAGAATTGGAACTGAACTTTGGCAGCTGATGATGACGTTACACGAGAACACGAGGACGCAAGAACGCTGAAGAACACATATTGAGAAACAGTCATGGTCAAGCCGATCTGCTGCAGTTCAAACCGAGTATCAGAATAGGGAGAAAAAGTGATTTAAGTGACTTTGAACATGGCATGGTTTTTAGTGCCAGATGGGCTGGTCTGAGTATTTTAGAAACTGCTGATCTACTGGGATTTTCACACACAACCATCACTAGGGTTTACAGAGAATGGTCTGAAAAGGAGAAAATATCCAGTGAGTGACAGTTCTGTGGGCGCAAATGCCTTGTTGATGCCAGAGGTCAGAGGAGAATGGCCAGACTGGTTCAAGCTCATAGAAAGGCAACAGTAACTCAAATAACCAGTCGCTACAACTGAGGAATGCAGAATAGCTGAACGCACAACACATTGAACCTTAAGGTGGATGAGCTACAGCAGCAGAAGACCACAGGAAACTGAGACTACAATTCACACAGGCTCACCAAAATTCCACTTTACAAAAGAAGATTGGAAAAACGTTGCATGGTCTGATGAGTCTCGATTTCTGCTGCGACATTTGGATGGTAGGGTCAGAATTAGGGTATCAGGGTCCATAAGTACCACGTGAGCATCGTGTCAACGCCACAGCCTACCTGATTATTGTTGCTGACCATGTCCATCCCCTTATGACACAGTGTACCCATCTTCTGATGGCTGGTTCTTGAACATGGCAAAGAGTTCACTGTACTCAAATGGCCTCCACTGTCACCAGATCTCAATCCAATAGAGCACCTTTTGGATGTGGTGGAACGGGAGATTCACATAATGGATGTGCAGCTGACAAATTTGCAGCAACTGTGTGATGCTATCATGTAAATATAGAGCAAAATCTCTGAGAAATATTTCCAGTGTCTTGTTGAATCTATGCCACGAAGGATTGAGGCAGTTCTGAAGGCAAAAGGGGGTCCAAACCAGTACTGGTAAGGTGAATTTAATAAAATGGCTAGTGAGTTGTATGTGACAATGACCAAGGACAAAAGAACAGATCACATGACTATAACATGGCTATTTACTTATTTCATTGTTTATTATTTATTTTTTAATTGATTAACAAACTATAGGCTATTATTTATGCAATAATATTCACAATCTACTTACAGTCAAGCCCAAAAGTATTCATACTGCTGACAAAATCTGACTTTTATTCAATTCTGAAAACTTAATTGAATCTGAAAACCTTTGTTTTAGATTTTAACCTGTTAACGTTGCAGTCTGTATAGGTTCAAGATTGTTTAGGTGGCATCTAAAACTAAAGTTTTAAATGTGTTTTATAAAGAATAATGTAAGCTTTATGAAATGTTCAGATGCAAAAGCCCCAAAGTGTTTTCCGAACTGTTCTTCTAAAATTAGCATTTTTCTCAGGCTCAGTTCAGTAATTTGCTTTTTGCTATATGAAAATGATTTTTATTTTCAGTTTAATTTTACTTCAGTGTTTAAAATAATAATAATAATAATAATATTCATAATAATAATAATAATACTGCCCATACACATATTGGTTCATGGTAAAAAAAAAGAATAAATAAATAAATCAATAAATATACTGTATGTATATATATATATATATATATATATATATATATATATATATATATATAAATAAATAAATAAACAAACAAACAAACAGTCACCAGGAGGCTTAGCAAGGTTTTAAATTGTGGCTGTTAAATTGTTAGGTTTGCTCTTACTGTCTCTTTGCAGGAGTGCTTGCAAGACACATGGAAGTTGATCATGTCCTCTCCCATGATGATGTAAGACACACCGTAGCCATCATCAGCTACCTAAACAGGAACAAACCATGAACTCAGTGATCAAATTAGAGCCGCAGTCAGTTTGTGGAATTTACATTTAGATAATGTGTGTGTTGATCAGTAACTCACAGGACCAAAGCCTCCCCCCAGGGAGATGAACTCTGGGTGGTTGACTAGATCAAACAGCTCCATCTGTTGCACAGGTGTCTGAGATGTAGAGAGGCGCCAGGGCTCTGACAAAACCTACAGTTCACATAAACGCATATAAAAACAGCTTCACGCCCTCACATCCATGCTAATTATCTCCTACTCATAAATTACCTTAATGTCACACTTCATTTTTAAAGTCCCTGTAAAATCCTAATAGAAATTTTGAGATGTTTTCAGTATGTTAGTCTTAACCCTAGTTTCTACAAATGAAGTATGAGCACACATTGATTTGTATCTTTTACACACATCCAAGCCTTAAAATTACACTCTATACAACTCACTTTAACAATATCTATAAACTAGCATGCTCCAAAATGTTCCATTAGGAAGATATAAACTTGCAGTTTGTCACTTCTGCGTAAATGGATCAATGATTTTTTATTGACGTCACCTTGTGCGTCTCATTAAATCTTCTGGCCCATCAAATGATCTATAGCACGGGTGTCCAAACTCAGTCCTGGAGGGCCGGTGTCCTACATATTGTAGTTCCAACTGCAACTAAACACACCTGAACCAGTTAATCAAGTACACTAGAAACTTCCAGGCAGGTGTGTTGAAGTTGAAGTTGGAGCTAAACTATGCAGGACATCGGCCCTCCAGGACTGAGTTTGGACACCCCTGATCTATAGCATTTGACATGCTCTGCCCCCTTCAAGACGTTATTGCTACCTGCACTTTAGCTCAACCACTGTCAGTGGCAGAACTGTGATAATAAACACTACTGGCAGATGTTTACAAAGGGGGAGAATCTACACTATGTCCTGCGCTGTCTTCATTATTCAGTTCATATAACTTCACACATTAAATAATGCACATTTCAAAGCACTTCTTGGAAGCATTTTAACAAACAGCCAGCAAAAAATTAATGCCAACTAATTTTCTTGGAATGGAATTCATTTATTTTTTAAGCAAATAAGTTCTGCCAAAGAAGTAGTTATTTTAAAGTTAGTTAGTGTTCAAATCATCTATAATAAGTATTTATAAGCTGATCATATAAAAAAATGCATCATAGACTTTGCAAAATGAATCAGTCTCTCCAAATACAAACATACACTGACCTCTTTAAGGAAAGGAGACTCTACCCCCAGGTATTTTGAGACTACATATAGGCAGAAGAGGTGTCTATCAATGCCAGATCCAGTCATGGCCAAGCGGTAGAGGTTCTGATGCTTCTCAGCAGTTTTACGGAGGAGCTTTCTGCATTGTTCTCTGTCCTAGAAGAAAAAAATCAGGCCAACTCAAATGTTTGTCGAGAGAAAATTAAAATCACTAGGCTGCTTATTTAATTATTAAACATTTAGCTATATATACTAAATAAAGCTTTATAACTGCCATGTGTTTACATTGTTGTGTCTTTTTATTATTATTATTATTATTATTATTATTATTATTATGCCAAATGATTTTCGTCAGTTATACAAATCAAATGTTGGACAGTTTACAGTGCACCTGGAAAGTATTCATAGCTCTTCACTTTTTCCACATTTTTCTGTTACAGCCTTATTCCAAAACGGATTAAATTCATTTATTTCTTTAACATTCTACACACAATACCCCATAATGACAATGTGAAAAAATGTTTTTTTTTTAATTGTTGCGAATTTATTACAAAGAAAAAACATGAAAAATCATGTGTTCATCAGTATTCACAGCCTTTGCTTAATACTTTGTTGATGCACCTTTGGCAGCAATTAAAGCCTCAAGTCTTTTTGAATATGAAGCCACAAGCTTGGCACAGCTGTCTTTGGGAATTTTTGCCCATTCCTCTTTGCAATACCTTTCAAGCTCTATCAGGTTGGATGGGAAGCGACGGTGTACAGCCAGATCTCTCCAGAGATGTTCAATAGGATTTGGGTCTGGGCTCTGGCTGGGCCACTCAAGGACATTTACTGAGTTGTTGTGAAGCCACTCTATTGATATTTTGGGGATGTGCTTTTGGTCATTGTCCTGCTGGAAGATAAACCGTTGCCCCAGTCTGAGGTCAAGAGCACTCTGAAGCAGGTTTTCATTCAGGATGTCTCTGTACATTGCTGCATTCATCTTTCCCTCTATCCTGACTAGTCTTCCAGTTCCTTCTGATGAAAAACATCCCCACAGCATGATGCTGCCACCACCATGCTTCACTGTAGGGATGGTATTAGCCTGGTGATTAGCGCTGTTAGCTTTTCACCAAACATAACATCTGGGATTCATTTAAAATAGTTAAATTTTAATCTCATCAGACATGAGAATTTTGTTTCTTATCGTCTGAGAGTCCTTCAGATGTCTTTTGACAAATTGCAGGTGTGGAGTGGCTTCAGTCTGGCCACTCTACCATACAGGACTGATTGGTGGATTGCTGCAAGGATGTTTGTCCTTCTGTAGAGCTCTCCTCTCTCCACAGAAGAATGCTGGAGCTCAGACAGAGTGACTATCGAGTTATTGATCACCTCCCCTGACTAAGGCCCTTCTCCCCCAATTGCTCAGCTTAGATGGACAGCCAGCTCTAAAAAGAAATCTTCCACTTTCGAATGATGGAGGCCACTGTGCTCATTGGAACTTTCAAAGCAGCAAACATTTTTCAGCAACCTTCCCCAGCCTTGTGCCTCGAGACAATCTTGTCTCAGAGGTCTACAGACATTCTTTTGTCCTCATGCTTGGTTTGTGTTTTGACATGCACTGTCAACCCTGGGACCTTATATAGACCAGTGTATGTCATGACTGTTAGTAACCACCTGAGGGCACTGTAGTTCAACAAACTCTGAGAGTTAACTATAGCGCCCAAGAAATACAAGTCCATACATCCCACGTGCATTACACCCGGTATCACTTACACTGATTAGCTATTCACAGCTGTTCCTGTTTCCTGTTGATTTCCTGGACTTTTTATACAACTATTTACCCACTGTTCGTCACTGCGTCGTTTGTCTTTCTTGTCTGCAATATCTAGTAAGTCTTGTATAGCGAGTTTGTTATTTCCTGAGCCCTGTTCCTGATCCATGTTGTAGTTTCTTGTTTTTTTTGTTTATTTGTTACATTGTTACTTTGTACGTCTTGTTTTTCTGTTTGCTGCACGATGATTTAATAAATCTGCACTTCCCGCAACACCCGTTTTTGTTCCCGTTTCAATCCGTAACGTGACAGTGTATGCCTTTTCAAATCCTGTCAAATCAACTGAATTTACCACAGTTTAACTCCAATTAAGCTGCTGAAACATCTCAAGAATGATCAGTGGAAACAGAATGTACCTGAGGTCAATTTAGAGCTTCACTGAATACATGTGATTTTTCAGTTTTTTTATTTGTAATAAATTTAAAACAATTTACAACGTTTTTCACATTGTCGTTATGGGGTGTTGTGCATAGAATTTTGAAGAAATAAATTAATTTAATCCATTCTAGAATAAGGCTGTAAAAAAATGTGTAAAAAGGGAAGCGCTATGAATACTTTCCGGATGCACTGTACATATGAAGACAGCCCATGAACTTTGTAAGAACCAAAGTTTTCAGTACCTCTTTTCAATTGACAGTTGGAAGAGAGTCACTCTTTATTGTACTCATCAATATAAAAGTGTCTATTTAATAAAATTATTTGTCATCATTTGTGAGCTTTAAACATTTTGTTTGAGAATTTGAAAAGAAATTCATTAATTTATCTACATTAAAAAAGGTACAAACATATTAGGATCTAAAATCTAATCTACAGAATAAACATCGACTTGTATTAGTATGTCAAGAGTAAATACAGAAATCAGAGAGTGAATTTCAATACCTTTTAAGACCTTTTTAAGAATTTCCATACATTTTAAGATCTTATAACCACTTTTCACACTGGCAAGACTTTAATATACAGTATATTTACTAAATATTCATGTAAGAAACTAGTCTAAAACTAAAACATCATTCATATACTGAATAAAAATCTATTAAATCTAGCTAATTCTGCAGGTTGGCGCCTATAGAGCTGCAGAAAAAATGGTGTTGCCATGGCAGACAAAGCAGAAATGTTAAATCTAGTAGGATTTCATTGATTTCCTAAACTACACAGCATCCTGATATTCGCAGATTTCATTTAGGCACCATACAACCATACATTGCATAATCAAAAATGATATAAAATTTTAAACCAGGCAAAAAAGCATTTTTGATACATTTTAAGGGCCTAAAATTTCTCTACATTTATTTTCTAACTTTTAATACTTTTTAAGACCTCACGGACACCTTCTATGTGTGTTTTAGATTTTATAAATTGATCATTAATTCCTTAATTTAAAGGAGCATTCCAAATCCTCTGCAGCTAATTACTGCAGCGCTGTTGATACCCAAGACGGAACAAGTGAAACTGCTGTAAAAACATTGTGAAAGGGGAAAGGAAGGATTTAAAAACAGAACGTTACCTCTCCTCCTTCCAGTGCAAGGACAAAAGCACAACTTTCATTGGAGCAGGAGCGTACGGTTTCGGTGCGGCCCTCACGAAACAGGCGCGTCATGGAAGCTTCATATGTCAGACAGAAAGTCCCCCTATCCTAAAGTTAAAACAACAAATGGGGAACAACAAACGCGTTGATCCAGAAGAATTTCCTCTTTAAGAAAACATTCTGATCTGTACTGCCAGCAGAATGAGTTAGAGACAAATAAGAGGAAGTTCCTTGCTAGGACCAAAAAACAAATAGCTTTAAAAAACTTTACCCTGCATTGTCAAATAAACATCAGTATTTGATAATATGACTTGATCATGAATGTGTACCCTGTAATAGGCCAGCTGCAGAGCCAGCTGCACAAATGAATCTGGGCTGAGTTTCATTTTCTTGATGAGGCCTTTGCCAAACTTTCTGAAGGGAAAAACATGACAGTCCACTTCATCGGCCAGTGCTTGAGCAACAGCAAGAGACTCTGATATCTGAGTCTGAACCTGAGAAAAGACAAAAAACAAAACAGCGTGCCTGTCAGCTTTACATTCTGATAAATCTGGGCAAGGAAAATACGAGATAAGCATGCAGCTAAGAATACAAGCTCAACCACAGGAAACAAGGAAACACAGAAGCATAAAAAAATCCAACCTAAAAACAGAGATAAAATACTAACAAAAGATATATTTACAACACAACTGGCAATCAAAAGGAGGAAGGTAAAGTGGAATGTAACAAGAGAACCTGGAACAGAAAACAGAAGCAATGAAAACATTAATACAGAACCAGTGCCCTTACACATTTCTTTGGCCCCTAAAAGACATTCTAGAACATGCTGTACAGTGTCAGTGGACAAATTAAGAGAAATTTCCTTTAGATTTAGATTTTTTTAAAGAAATCCTCTTAACCTTATAATCTGAAAATGTGCATGATTGTAGAAGACTTTATTTCAGAGATTTTATTACAGGCCTGTACTGGCTAATCGGGAGTACTGGGAGAATTCCTAGATAGCTGATCTGTTTTTGTTTTATTTTTTTGTATATGAGGGCTGTTGTTGTCGTGTCACTGGGTTTAAGTATGCTATTCATGCTCTCCCAGGCGGTTTCATATTCATTAGACGATGTAACTATTTTTGATGACCTCAACTGAGACAAGCATCAATCATCAGTTGTTAAAGAAAACTAAATGTTGACAAGGATAATTTCACAATTTATACAAAAGTAAACAAATAATTTAAGAGATATTTCACATTTGAAGCTAATTTTCTTTATTTATTGTTCTTTATTACAGAGGTTCCCGAACTTTTCAGCCTGTGACCCTATGAATATATATAATAACTTTAATTAACTAACAACTAATTACTAATAACAGTTTAAGTTATTAGTATCTAATAAAGTTATAGTAACTAATAACCTTAACTTTCCTGATTTTGACTATAATGCAATAATGTGCACTTTTTGTAAAGTTGCTTTGAAACAATTATTTTGAAAAGAGCTGTACAAATAAACGTAAACTGAAATGAAAGCTGTTAAAACTGATGTGAGCAAACATACTAGGCATATTTTTAATAAGGAACTGTTAAAACTTTAATTACTTAGGGCAGGGGTCATCAAACTTGTTCCTGGAGGGCCGGTGTCCTGCAGTTTTTAGCTCCAACCCTAATCAAACACACCTGAACAAGCTAATCAAGGTCTTACTAGGCATACTTGAAACACCCAGGCAGGTGTGTTGAGGCAAGTTGGAGCTAAACACTGCAGGGTCACTGGCACTCCAGGACCAGGATTGGTGACCCCTGACTTAGGGCGTAGTCACACTAGACATGGTTGTCTTAAACTGTGCCCAGGCACAATTGTCACTCCTTCCCTCTCACATTGCATTTTTTTGCCTTCCGAGCCAGAGCACGCTTACGTCATCGATGATGCAACTGTTCAGTTTACCAGAAGAGAAGCGCTCTCACTCCGTACAGTGAAGATTGCTTTAGTTATACTGCTTGGTATTATTTGCATCTTTAATTAACTAAAACAGTTCGCAATAGGTAGTGCTGTTGCCACACAGCAAAATGGTCGCTGGTTTGAGCCTCGGCTCAGTTGACGTTTCTGTGTGGAGTTTGCATGTTCTCCCTGCGTTCGTGTGGGTTTCCTCCGGGTGCTCCAGTTTCCCCCACAGTCCAAAGACATGCTGTACAGGTGAATTTAATAAGCTAAATTGTCCGTAGTGTATGTGTGTGGGTGTTTCCCAGTGATGGGTTGCAGCTGGAAAGGCATCCGCTGCGTCAAACATAAGCTGTATAAGTTGGTAATTCATTCCTCCGTGCCAACCCTTGATTATTTAAGGGATTAAGCCGAAAAGAAAATGAATGAATGAGTTTGCGTTCATTGAAATGTAAAAATAATTAATAAATTTATATGAAACAATCCCTTAAAAGCGACGTTGCGTCTTTAGTTTTGCGCTCAGGTGCCAAAAGCCCAATCGAACCGCGCTCTGGCACACCTCTGCCAACCGGGCCATTTGGGAGCACTCATATTTGTCAAACGAACCAGGAAAAGGGGGACAAACATGCCTGGGCATGATTCGGATAACCTAGTGTAAGTACACTCTTAAGCGTGTTACAACTACAAGAATTAATTAGTTTCCACCTAACTTAGTACGATTCTCAGTAATAAATCATTTGGACAACCATTATTCTTTTAGGTGTAAGAAGTTGAAATAATGTATTAAAGTTGATCCAATGAGGCTTTTTTCCAGTTCAGCAAAAGAGGACAAAGAGATGGCCAGTAAGCTTTAAGCTAGTTAGGACTAGTCAGTCATTAACTAAGGAGGACTGGTGTAAGGCCTTAATCTCCAGGGCAGAAAACAGTCCTTCTCTGGGCCTTAAAATCGGATAGGAATATTATCCTCTATAATACTATACATGTTAGGGTGGCCAGAAGATCTGTTTTTCAGCTTTACTGTTTGTCTTGACTGATAATAAAAAACATGGTTTATCCATATTACATTTTTACTAAAAGTTCATTATTGCACATAAAAACAGGCTAATCAATTGTAGCTAATCATGTTGAAGTATATAACCAAAGGTGCAAAAAGGGGGTATATGCAGCATATGTGGCACACAGGGGCACCACACATGGGGGGAGTTCATTGTGCCAAAACTATTTTTGAATATTATCGTTATAAAAAGTTTTAAATAATAAATATAAATAAATATTTTAGTTAAAAATGTTTAAAAATGTAGCATTTTTATGAGTATGATATTGTATTTTGATAATAAAAAATTATACCACCCCTCTCCTCTGTTGGCCACATTTTCAAAATGGAGAATGAAGAGATGTGAAGAAAGAACAAACAATGCCTTAAAATGAAAACTGCCATGACAAATTGGATAATAAGAGATTGGTAAGCTTAACCCACACTAATATCACCATGCTTTTAATCAACTTCTAATGTTTTTGGCTGCAACGGGGCCGCCATATCATTAATTATTCATTATCATCAGCTAGTCACTGGGCTTTTACTTAACATGAATGCAGACGAGGTGGGGGGTTTTTTCAAGCAGAGGGACAGAGGATGAGGTGAGTTGTGATTGCGCGCACTCAAGAATGAAGACTAAGGGGGCAATTATTATGCGGGCCCCCCTCATCATGCTGGCCGTAAATGAATAAATGACTTTAACAATTCTTAACCCTGTTAAAACTGACATATGAACAAATAGTCAGAATATTCACATTTATTGGAACTGAAATGTTTATTAATCCTTATATCAAGATCTATTTTATACCATATTCATGCTTTTATAAATTCATTATGCATTATATTGCTACATCAGGACTTCAGGAATCTTTTTTTGCTCAAAACTATTTTAATTTTAGTTACAAAAAAAGTTTGCCCATAACATTTTGATGAAATAGAACATTTCAGGCAGTTTGTCTTTGTTTATTTATTATTATTATTCACCACTCCCAGTATGCACGCGAGAAGTTATTTTGCCCTTTAGGATTTTAGGGGAAACTTGAACCCCCATACCTCTCAGCAATTGTGCGGTTGCGCCTCTGCATTATAAAATGAATACATTTACTTTTTTGATGAAATTGCAGTTCATGAAGGTGAGTGAAGCCATCTGGCAACTCTAATGTGAGAGAATACAGAGGAGAGGTGAAAAGAAAATTACTATAATTATAGAAACATAAAAAGATAAATGACTATAAGAAAGCATGTTAAAGAGAGTATACAAAGTCCTGAAATGTATCACAAAACTGCTAAATTATCGCACATTTGATTTTGTGGGACAACACAGGATATAAGGGGAGAGATACATTTACTACTGGTAAACTAGGCAATGTTCATGTGACCCTTTTCAAGTAATCAATAAGGTTGTTACTTGTGACCAGCACTAGTTATGCTCAAGCTTGAGTGATATAAGTATCACAACTCAGTCTGAATGTATGAAACTGAGTATGACGGACTAATACATAAGTACAAAACAAAAATATATATAACTTTTTAGTTACATTTTTTTGTATAATCTAGACAATATCAAAGGTATTATACTGGATTCTCTGCATCTTTATCCTGTATGTTTGTTTTATTTTGGGTGTGCTATCCCTTTATTAAGTTTTATGGGTTATATATACTACATTTTCAATGTGTGCCAAAACTAACAGACGCATCCCTAATATTACACAACATGCAATTATTCCTTCCACTGACGCAAATGTAAATGAAGAAGCTCTCAAAAATCCCCACTGCTACATCATTATTGAACAACTGACAAAGAGAAGAGGCTCATGGGAACCCCCTGACTGAATGGACACAGGTTCAGTTCTGCACGCTACCACAGAATATGTGCAGTGTTAGACAGGCCAGTGCTATTGTGTGCATCATTTTTATTTATTAACTATTTTAAAGGCTTATATAGTTCTAGCTGAGTTTTAAGTTTTTTAATTATTGTAATTTTTCATTTAACATGTATTTTATGTCAAGTCACAAAACTGATTTAAGTTTAAGTTGAATTTTAAAGCCCTAAAAATGTATTTCACTTCAGAAAACAAAGCAGTGTTTTAATGGTCCAAACAGAGCCTAAAGTGGGCCTTGTTTACATCAAAATCTGACAAAACTAATGTTGATATAGAGCTGATGCTACTGTTCTTAGTATTTTAGGAAATGGAGGGAGATCAGACAAGTGTAACTGTTACATATAACTCCTAAAAAGCCCCTCTGAGACCTGCAAAATGACCATACTAGAGTCTTTAATCTGAAGAAAGACCTAAAGAAAGTTACCTCAGAGATCCTTGATAGCCCAGTGTCAATTGTCCCATTTCCCACATCTAAATCTCTCACTGAACTGTTAAAAATGTATCTGTAAGATATATCTACAACTAGTTTTATGTTTAGTACTATGTTTTAGAATGTACATAAAGTTTTTATGTGTGTGTATGTTCATGTTCTCAGTGACTAAGTTAGAACACTAAGTCTAAGCTAAATAATGTTTATGAAGCTTTACTTAATAGTTCAAGTGTGTAACCATCTTGATCTTATTGGATACCTGACTTGTTTAAGAGTATAATCAACAGTATTTACATTTCTAGACTGACAATGCACACAAAGCTGTACGTCACACTTTTAGTTTGATATTATATCTTTGGTAATTGTCGATCAAATTAATACAAATTTTTTGGGATGCAAATGAGGTGCTGACATGACCAAAATTTGTCTCTGAAGGGCAACTTTCCCTTGGCTCCTTTATAAAAGAGATTGCCCTTGACATTATATTTTCTTATGCTTCAGCTTTTTTGTTCCAGCTTCTCCTGAATGTCAGTGGTCACCAGCAAAAAAATGTGACCCAAGCATATCCCAGGACAAGTTCTTTTGACCCAATCAGAATGAAGACGCAATATAAACGAATCATCAAGAGACTTCCAAGCCAAACAAAGAGACTCTGCGAGTATAATTTAGATATCAGATATATAACATACATTTTTTTGTTAAAACAAGGGGATTCAGATTTGTGTGATGATCTGTTTTGGGTTACTGATGTTGAATTGCAACTCACTCACTCCTATCTTGTCTCTCTGGCTTCTTGGCGGAGTTTCTGGCCATGCTCTCCCTGAGTCTCTGCCCCTCCCCCTCTCTCTTTCTCTTTCTAATTATATGCAATTTGTAAATAGATGTATAGTATCTAGTACTGTAATTGTCATTAAATGTTTGTGCCCACATTTGATTGTTTGTTTTCACACATACAGTAAAAACGGTTATTTTAACCTATAGATAATGCTTCATGCAAAAGTTACATGGTGCTATATTAATTGTTAACTCGGTAGAGATTCAATTATTCTTCCTGGACAGAATAGTTATTTGGTCTGTATTAGACAGTTACATGGTTCGCTCGCAGATGTGCAGGAGTGTGTTTCCCAAACAACGACATAACTTGTGGCTGAACTATCATAATACGATGCATCATTTTGGAATGAATGATGTAGTGACGAGTGTTTCCCAAAACAGTAGCTGCTTTGTCGCAGATCCATTATTTGAGCCACATTGGTTATAACGTAAAACGGCCATAATGACACTTCAAACTTGTTAGGTGGAGTAAAAACTTTTTTAGAGAAAAAAAACATAAGTTCTTTGTGCAAATTATATTGTTTTACACGCACGCGTTAAAAAAAAAAAAATCATTATTAGTGTTGATAAAAACATGGGCTCACTTTCCATATTAATTGAAATATATGAAAATGGCAAATATAGGGCCATTCTTATTATACATTTTTTATTATTATTAATATTATTATTAACTAGGATTATGTTTATTATTTTTTGTTAGTCTACTTTTACAATTTGACAAATTCAAACCACTGCAGAAATGTTCGAACCAACAGGCCCATGTCATATACAGTACAGATAAATTTTTTAACAAATAACCTAATATAAATTTAAATATTTAACGTTTGCTATATATTTTTGTTTTCACGAGCTTTGGAGATGTAACGTAAATTTCACTTTTAAATAATAGGTAACCCATAGCTTTCGTCATAATCCACGGCTGCATTCAAAATGGCATAAATGTTTTCAAAGTGCACTATGAAGAGAACGCAAATGTCAATTTGAGGATTGCTAAAACTGAACTGTAAAAATACTTTAAAAGACATGACTTGGTTTTAATGTTTTTTTAAATCAATCCAAGTTTAAATGTTGGAATGTTCTAAACGAACAGAGCATAGGGGGATAACTAGGATTAGAACACAACTAGGAACTATCCTTCTAACTACAGCTCAAGAGGGTTAGTTGGAAACGTACAAGTTTGGTCGCAGTTTGCAGGAACGATGAATTTGGGAAAAACTCAACAAACTATGTTATATGTTATATATTATTAATAATTAATATTAAATTTTATGTGAGCTTATTTTGCTACAACAGAGGTGTAAAATTCAGTCTCTGGAGGGCCGCTGGCCTGCACAATTTAGTTCCAACACTGCTTCAATAGACTTACCTGTAGGTTTCAAACAACCCTAAAGTACTCAATTACTTTAACCATGTGTGCTTAATTAGAGTTGAAACACGGTCACACAGTTTGAGCATGCAAAAAACTGAAAAAAAGGGCATGCTTAAACAAGAGCAGCAATTGGTCCATATTTTTATATTTTTAATTTTTGTTCAGAGAGGTCATGTTTAAATCTTCAATTGGTCTCAAGCAATCATGTGATGCGATTTGACAGGTAAGAGTTCACCAAGCTTGAACTTTGCAAATTGCAAAACTTGTTGCACTTACTTGCGTTTCCAGTCTTTCACAATTACATGCGTATGAATGGAAGTCTATGGAGCAAAAAGTGCAGTGTGATCATGGCTTAAACTCTGCTGGTAAGCCCACCCAGAATCTGCGCACGCAGAATTCTGCAGATTTCCGCCGATTTTTAGCCCATCATTAATTCTGTTTATTTACTTGAGTAAATGTGTGTAAATCTATATTTATTCAGTTTTTTTTTTTATTAATTTCAGTAATATTATTGACTAATATAAAAACATTCATCTGATTTATCTACAATACAGTATGTAAAGTAATATTTCTGTCTTTTACTAAATATATTATATGACAAACTTGCTTTATTTACCAATTAAAGTTAATCTAATTAGATTTGCATTTTAAACATTAAATAAAAGTTAAAAAGGTATTCTTTTTTTATTTCATATATTAAGGTTTTAGTTATGATACTCCCAAAATAATTCCACAGAAATTTAACAAAATTCTCTGCAGAAATAGCAAAAAATGTTCGCAGATTCCGTCTGGCTCTAGTGGCCCACCAGAAACTGAGTTTGACACCTGTACATTACAATAGCACAATCCTTAACCAGAAATACATTATATATCACATAGAATCTGTGAATTAACATTTCCTCAAAACATTATGAAAAAAGAGCATCAGTGTACATGCTTGTTTTATAATCATTCTTGGATGTTTTGCAGATTCCTTGAAAAAATGGTTGCCATATGACTTGGCAATATAAACTGTGGAAGAAAGAAAGTGTAAATAGAGAAAAGAGATTATTTTTAGTCTTGCCTCAAACGGTATGTCCCAGCTCAAGCGTTGAGGATGTGGTAAAGAGTGGTCTACATCTCCCCTGCAATTTCCATCTGAGTTGTAACCCAAGTGAAATGTGTCTGTGGCAAGAGTGAACTAGGAGAGTGAAAGAGACAAAGCTGTTTTAATTATCCATTTGTATATAAGCACTGGACTGTTCATTTAAACATCTGGTGCATTGACTCTTAAAGTAAAATACTAAATAATCTATTACTGTAGATATTCCAGTGCTTAATGTCTCTGGATTGTTTTGGCCAAGATACTTTAAAGCCTAACCAATGCAATATGTAGCTTTTCATAAAAATAAAAAAAAAGTAAAAAAATGTTTCCCTTGGTGATATTCTTGGATTATTTTCATATTTCATGTCTTGTTATTGAGAAACGTGACAAAACAGCTGCCTTATAAACAACCTAACATGGCAGATATAAAGTACATGTGCCCACAGCTGGCTAAAGATCTGTAGTATGAGTCTGTTCTCTAGAGCTGTATGAGTGAATGGTTAGGATTATGGCAAATTTAATGTTATTGCTGGAGAATTAAACTAGCACGAGAACGTCTGCAGAGTAGAAAACGCTAGTGGAAAAAGCAGAGAAGAAGAAAACTTATTGTTTGAGTATGTTTTAGGGAAATCACACTGTGCATGCAGACACTCATTTAGAAAACTCAAAAAAACTCATTGTTATGAGAACAAATTTTTTAATATGTGTACAAACTATATATATTCATTTGATGTAAATGTTTATTGTGTCTGGAAGCTTGAATAGAAGATTAAAAGTCCATGGTTTTTGTAAACACATGAATGCTGCTGTGGGAGTGAGAGATCAACTCTGTCTTTGTCTATTCACAACACCCACAGACAATTCATCTGCTTATAGATAAAATTAAAATAAATGGCCAGTGGGTTGGTGACTAATACTGAAACTTGAAGTGTGACATTTGATTTCTAATGACTTAAGTTCATCATGTAAATTGCTGCTGTGAGACTCGCAGACTCACCTCCCACAGGTGGGCTACTATGGGTGCATCGGCCCAAGAATGTTCTGCATTCAGCCCATTTTTTCCATTCTTATACACCACAACAGAAAATGACTTGTCAAACCACCTTAGAGAAAGAAAACAGGAGTGAAGCAAAGCTGTGGACACAAAAACTTTTAAGTACAAACAAAATATGCTGCTCTCCCACCTGTCATAGCATTTTCCATGAAGAAGAGATTTGGCATATCGGTCCAAATTCTCAGAGGGATTTTCCCCCTTCATGCCTTCCGCTTGGTCATCAAGCGTGACAAAAAATGCTGCTTTCTCAATGCAGTCTAGCGATTGCTTATTGACTCCAGAGCTGAAGAACTGCTTTCTCACACGAGCCCAGGGTGTCCTGATAGGATAGAGATATTTAAGCATCTTAACCATTGAAGATAACATGCTCCTATAACAGATACAAACTCCCTTTTACCTATCTTATTGAGATATTAAATTAATTTTAAAGCATAGTTCATCTAAAAATGAAAGTTTTCTCATAATTAACTCACCCTTCACTTGTTACAAACCTTTATGAGTTATAAACAAAAAGCTATGGGTCAAGAACAAACCTCCGAGATAGCAAAAGCTGTCTGGCCCACCTCTGGAACATTTGTTTTGGCCCATCTGTCTATTTGTCTGATAATGCCTTGCCTTCATCAGGGTGTCAACATACAAGTGCAATTGAAGTTCATTTAAAGAGTCCAAATAAGTCTCAAGTGTCCCTAGTGTGTGTGTCAGCTCAAAATACAACACAAATAATGTTGTAAAACTCTTTGATCCTGGACCTTTGGTTTTGGTTCAAATTGTGCCATTTTGGTGACCTTCGATTTTAATTAAAATGAGGTTGTGCTCTTCTCAAATAAGGGCGGACCTATAAATGCATATGCTTTAGCACAATGGCAAATTTAAAACATGGCTAATTTTATCTCTTTGAAAGACAGAAAATATCAAAATAAGTGTCTTAGAAGAAGAAAGTCTATAGAGACTACAGAGTTCATTTGTACATTCTAAAACTCCACATTTATAATCCTCTTGGACACTGAAATTGGGTCTTATCATACACCAGGCATAAAAAGGCACAAGATGTGATTGGCGTGATTTGTTGCTATTTTCAGATTAATTCTACCCTAATTTTCACGTTTTCTGCCACGCGGTTTGAACAACAAATTCACTTGTACTACTTTGTGGACCAATGGGTGTGCTGGTCTATAAAGGAGGTTTGTTAAGAGGCATTGTTGGCCCATTCTGAGAAATTGAAATAGACCACTCAATTGACTATGTAAAAGCCAGTCCAAAGTCCCGCTCAGAGTTAAGCACCTATGTAGGTTTAAATGTTTAATACACACAAATGCTTAATGTACAGCAATTCACAAATATCTTTAAATATGAAAAAAAAGGATTAAAATGTTACAAAAATTATTATTTTCTATATAGACATAAAAACTACTGCATCCATGCCTTCATCACGGTGGTCTTTTTCAGTTTATTCATGTCAATTAGAATTTTATATTATGATATTATTATAAGCAGTATTATTAATTTTATGCACATTTATGTTTGTTTTATTAAAAATAAGTTTAGATTTGTCCATCTGTCGGGATTTGAAGACGTTTGCTTCACCATATGGGTCATAAGAATAGAACATGTGTTTGGATATAACTTTTTTTTTGGCCACACTTCATTATTATTGTTCATTTATTAGTTTGCTGGAAATTAGAACTGAATTTAGAAATAGTTTTGAACAATTCTTTGTGCTTAAACTAAGTTAAATATGTAGGCTAATGGATGTCTTCAGTGGAGTGCGTACAACACTATTTCCTTATCCACAAAAGTAGTAAAGTAAAGAGTGAAAGTAAAGAAAAAGTAAAGAGGCACAGTGGAGGAGGCTTGTTCTTTATCCTTGTGCTGCAGATGGTCTGTTCAGTTGTTTTCTCGCTAGTGAAGAGTTCAGTTTTTCCCACTCACAGCGTCCACCATGTAAATAGCAAATGTGCCATGGCGCGACGCAATTGACTCCTAAAGGCAATATAAGATGAGAAAAGCACAACCCTGTTATACCATGCACCAGTATGCAGAGTATATTTTCAGTCCATAAAATAGCAAGTGGATTCAGGCACAACCTTAATGCTTTTGTGCCATGCACTTTAGACTTTGCACCTAGATTGTTAAAATAGAGCCCATTATCTAAAGCAGGTACAGTGAAAACTCTAATGGCAGATGGCTGCTTCTCATTCAGGGCTGTTTATCCTAATGAGAGTAAGAAATCATCACTAATGGGCAGGGCTCTTCCCCTTTGATGACAAAGGGAGAATGTCAATCAAAGGGTTTTATTTCTGGGTGGGGTATCCCTGTAATATAAGGGTTATTTTTGAGAATGTAATAAGGTTTCACTTGACTTTGAATAAGGAAGGCCATTCATTTTGTCATTTTATCTATTGTTAATATAATGTAATGTACTTTAAAACTTGAAAAACTTTCACTTCAGTTTGGAGTAATATAAAGAGCAAATTAATAGAAAGGCAACACTAACAACTCAATTTAACCGAGATCTAAAGAAGAGCATTTCTCAACACACAACACATCAAACTTTGCAGCAGATGAGCTACAGCAGCAAAAGAACCACAACGGATGCTACTTATTTCTGCTAAGAACAGGAAACCTAAGCTACAGTTTGCAAGGGCTCACCAAAATTGAAAGAGAGAAGATTGGACAAAAGTGATGACAATATTTGCAGTGTGTGAAACTGCCATCACAGTTGTAGAATGACTCACATTTTATCTGGGTCAAGAATGAACCAGCAATTGCAGACAGGTTAAGCAGTTCCCATGACAACTGAACAACAAACACCATCTGTTTTCAAAAAAAAATATATATATATAAAAGAAATATCCACAAGTTTGATTCTAGCACTAAACATATGGGGCGGCTCTGCTTAATGTTTTTTGTTGTCTAAACTGATGCTTATGGAGGTGATGTGAATAGCTGTAGTTCATTAAACACTCCCAGTTCAGTATGTTATAATGTGCACATACAGTAGCATCCAAGTGTGAAGGTTATATACACGGTATAAAACTGCTTTCATTTCAGGTATTTAAGCACTCACATTAAAGTGATGGTGCAGGTGTGTACAAAATCCTCACATTTCCTGTCTGACCTGATGCCCTATTGCTTGCTCAAGCTATTGTCATTGCAACATGTACAGACTTTTGAAGGTAATAGATGTAATAAAAAGTAGTAGCATTAGATGAGCCCTAAGTGGATGCTTATTACATTTTTGTCTAACTGCCAAAGTATTAAGGGTTTAAGGCAAAGATGTACACCACCTGACAAAATCTTGTCATCGATCACAGGTGTAAGGACAGCAGATAATAACTTGACTTCAAGTCGATCATTAGGAATAGTGGAAGAAAATAGATTTTTGTCATGAATCATCTGTTGAACTGCATCCCAATCATCACAAATACTGCAGAAGACCTATTGGGACCCGCATGGACCCAAGATTCTCACAGAAGCAGTCAAGTTTGGTCAAGGAAAAATTATGGTTTTGAGTTACATTCAGTATGGGGGCGTGCGAGAGATCTGCAGAGTGGATGGCAACATCAACAGTCTGAGCTATCAAGACATTTGTGCTGCCCATTCCATTACAAACTACAGGAGAGGGCACATTCTCCAGCAGGATAGCACTCCTTCTCATACTTCAGTCTCCACATCAAAGTTCCTGAAAGAAAAGGAGGTCAAGGTGCACCAGGATTGGCCAGCCCTGTCACCAGATATGAACATTATTGAGCATGTCAGGGTAAGATGGAGGAGGCATTAAAGATAAATGCAAAGAATCTTGATGAACTCTGAAAGTCCTGCAAGAATGCTTTCTTTGCCATTCCAGATGGCTTTCTTAATAAGTTATTTCAGTCATTGCAGAGATGTGTGGATGCAGTCCTCCAAATTCATGGTAGTCAAACACAATATTAATTCCTTTACACTGCACCATGACTTTATATTCTATACTGTACATCATTTCTGTTAAGCGACAATAATTTTGTCTAATCAAAGTCAGACCTTACTGTCCTAATTAATGATTATAAATCAAGGCATGATCTATGTGGAGAGGTAAGCGTGATCGAACACCCAATCAGGGGGGAGAGCATGCTAGGAGCCCGGCGGCTAATCAGCGGGTCAATCAGGAATGATAAATAACACCTGTCTTTCTAGTGATTGGGCCGGAGAGACTCCCTTCTTAAGGAGAACGGGAGGAGCAGTCGGGAGAGGAGAGAGCACACACACACACACACACACACACACACACACACACACATAGATACATGTGTGGTGACATCCAAACATAAATAAAAGATTTGCTTACCTGAATCGCCGACCCTGTCTTCTTCTTCCCTCAACAACGAACATTATTACAATCATATTTTATTTTGTCGTAATCTAGAGGCCTTTGCCTTTTGTATAAGCTACTTCTTATACCAAATGATCAACTAGAAGTCAAGTTATTACTTGTTGTTTCTAAAACTTGTATAGGTGACAAGACTTTTGTCAGGTACTGTATGTCGTGGTTTAATATAATTTTCCTATCAACAACTTTTGAAGTGTATGTGAATGACAGACTTAAAAAGTCCTTTCTTTATAGTTCTGTCTAATATTCTAAAGACATCTGAAAGCACAGCTTGGCATTGTTTTTCTTGTGTCATGAACATGAACAGACAAAGAGACATGCTTCAACGGCGGGTGATGGCACAGGTTAAGTACTGGTCTAGCTCATTTGTAAGCAGGGTGTGGTAATACCCTTTGATAGCTAAAAACTATTTAAACGGAGCAGCACCCTAACAATGAGGCCAACGGCATTCCCTGTATGTAATGACTGCAAACAGTTCAGACAATTATTTGCTACATATAACAAATAATATCTAAATACCCCTTTTCAATCCAACAAACTGCTGGCTGACACCCAACACTCCTGCACCCAGGTAAACCCAGACCAGTGTTACCATAGTAAAAAAAAAGGTTTACGAACAAAAACGAAAGTGTGCATTCACTCAGGAACAGTTAATGTTCAAACAAAGTACAAACAAGCACGCCATCGTAAGTCAAGGTTAAAAAGTACATGCACCAAGAAGTTGGACATCAAAACACTGTAATACTGAACTCAAAGAACTCTACGAGACATAACGCAAGAACTGAGGTGCTTGGCAATATAATAGAAAAACCCAGTTTGTTTGGACGATGCGCATGACATTATCAACAGCTAATAAAAAATGGCTGAAGATGTCATTTTAGAAAACATACAAAGCTCTGTGGATTACCTAAAATATCCTTGTCCTGTGAGATGAACTTTGAGATTTGGGTATAAAGAAGAACAACAGCCTTTCAGGCAGATATTAAAACAATCATGTATTCAGGTGAAGACAAACATGCCTGTGAAATGCTGTGATGACTTGCTGCGATGAGACAACTGCTTCAAAAAAATCAATGCATATACACTTTATCAAAAGTGGAGGATAAAATCATATATGATAAAGCATAAATAAAATCCTAACAAAAGGATCTGCAGCATCCAAATGTTTTCCAGCCTTATCCATCAAAGTGAGGGTGGCATGTTCCACTCCACGCTCCTATCTATAAGCTAATTGCAACTATTCTAGTTTTCAAGCCATTGCCTAATAGAGTTGCTTGCCAAACCATGCACTTAAAAATCACAGAAGTCAAGGAAACTGGTCTGTAATTGATAAGGTCCTTAACATGTGTCTTTTTTGGTGGTCCCAGGCCTAAGGTGTAAAAAAAAAAAAAAAAAAAAAAAAACTGTTAGTTGGGCACCAGTTGGTACCAGATAATGATGTATTTTTGGGTTAAAACTCGCAATAAAACACGTTCCACATATTTTTTTCTGTATTATTATATTGGACTGTGGGGGAAACTGGAGCACCCGGAGGAAACCCACACGAACACGGGGAGAACATGCAAACTCCACACAGAAATGTCAATTGACCCAGCCGAGACTCGACCCAGCGCCCTTCTTGCTGTGAGGTGACTGTGCTACCCACTGCACCACCATGTCGCCCCGTTACCAAACATCATCAGGGTTACTGTTAAAACAAGCATAAAAGTGATTCGATTCAGTCGCAAGACATGAAGAATCAAAACACTGAATATTATACTGCTTCTGTTTCCTCTTCATCAAACTATTTAGGCTTTTCCAGGCCATCCTTGAATTGCCCATTTTAAACTTTTCCTCAGCTTTACATTTATACTTCAGTTCAGCCTTCATTTTTATTTAAATTCTTTTGGCAATTGTTTCTCAGCCTTTTTTTTAAAGCGATTTTTCAAGGACCAGACATAGTTTAAGGATTTTCTCATTTTACAGTTACTATATAACATTGTTTGCACAAAAATCAAATATGCCCGATTTTTAGGCTCGCCTTGTTTGTTTGTTTGTTTAGGTTGTATGCTGCCTGACTATCGACCATTCATCAGTGTATTCATCAGTGCCCGTATTTATCCGTTTGCTCCTGTATTGACTGTTGCTTGCCTGACCTTTGTCTGCATAATAAACCCTGCTTTTAGATCTGCACTCCTTTGTCCAGCATACCATCCACATTACATATATAATATATATTTTAAAAATCTAATGCTATATAGAGCGTGGTTATGATATTTTATTATTGACGACTTTTGGATTAGTTGTATGAAAAAAATTGCATTGTGGATATTCTGTGCTGTTTTTTTGTGCAGGTGTGGTATCTGTGCAATGAATTATTAACATTCCTTTCCCGTAATCAGGGAGGATTTGATGGAAACTATTATGAAATCCGTTTTTGAAAGAAAAAACTGGTGGAGGTTGCAAATATCTCTGAGGTTAATGGAAAACTAAGGTGTTCATTGTTGTAAACAGTTTCAGTTAATAAGTAGTTTATCACTTTAATTATACAGACAGGAAGACATGTTTCATAGGTAGAATATTCATTTTAACCAGTGCATTGCAGTGCAGCCATTATATTGTAGGTCAGTGTTTCTCAACCGCATTCCTGGAGGACCACCAACACTGCATGTTCTGGATGTGTCTTTTGTCTGTCACACCCATTTCAGGTCTTTCAGTCTCTGATAATGAGCTGATGATCTGAATCAGGTGTGTTTGTGTTACAATCGCCAGCGACCTAATCCTTGCTGGTAAACAAACAAATTGCTATAGAACTACAAAATTGGCCATTATTTGGACTACATTTCCAGTCATGCACCCCTCACACACACCTGTTCTAGTTTCCATGGATTACACACACACATAGCTGGAGGATTGTTATGGACTGATTACAAGCACTATTTAAACAGCACACACGCATGCATTAGTGCTGAGTTTTCTTAAACTGTACTGTAAACATTCCGATGCGTTTCCTTTGCCTTCTCGTGCCGTTAGTTTGGTTAAGGAGACACAGAAAATGTGCAGAGCTGTTGATCCTCCAGGAAGGTGGTTGAAAAACACGGTTGTAGGTTGTGTTAATGCATTGCATAATTTATCTATTTATTATGTATTAGGATATAATTCATCAAAATTGTAGTTGTAAAAAAAAAAACATTACTGACAAAACTGCATTACTGACATTTTTTCATGACCAAAAACTATGTTAAACAATCAAATAATTGAGTCATTTATCAGCTTTGTTTGTCACGGAGTATTATGCAGAATTAGTTATGCTATTACTTTACCTTTTACTCCAACAAGAAATAATCTTTTTTTCTATGCAAATATGTATGTAACTCTAAAGTCTGTTTCCTTGAGTCATATTATATTATATTATATTATATTATATTATATTATATTATATTATATTATATTATATTATATTATATTATATTATATTATATTATATTATATTATATTATAGCCTTTATAATATCATTACTTTAGTTTTTTTTGGAGGATAACCCATAAAATTTATATTCCACCATGAGTCTTTACCTCTAAAATTATAAAATCAAAGACAACTATTTGAATTAATAAAATTAATATTAATAAAATTTGAATGTAACAGAATACCACAACAATCGATGCACAGAGGATGTTGTCTAAAAGTTCTTCTGGAATGATCAGACCTATCTAGGAAATATTCACAGTAAAGTGTTCTGCTGACATAAATCCACACATTACCCCCCCAATTTAAAAAAACACGAGTGTCTAACCGGTTTCCTGCTGTCAGTGCTCCTAGTTTCTCCTCTCCTGGAGAAGGAGGTGAGGGGTCATCCAAAATCCTTTGAATCTGAAATTGGATCTCTCTAGGTGAAAGCAATCGTCCAGCTCGGTAGACCCATAATCTGAAGTAACGGCCTCTGTGATAAACAGCAACAAACTCGCTGTCCTGCCAGTGCTGCAGAACATCTGAGAGACAAAGAGACTGCATCAAAGGCCATTTTCTTAATGCGTATTTATGTCTGCATGTCTGTATGAATGTGCGTTTACCAGTCTCTTCTCCAGGTGTTCGAGTGGTGTTGAACATGCGCTCACACTGAGCTGCACACAGCGGTATGACCGTACCAGGAATACGACTCTAAAGAAATAATCATGTCATAATGTCAATTATTACAGAAAAACTGATTCACATTTTCCCCTATACTGCTCATTCTCAATAAATCACCAATTTTGTCACAGCACACAGTTTATCACAGACCGCTGCATAAAATGAAAATGCAAAAATTTAAATGTCCTCAGTATTTTCTTTAAGTCATTAGTTAAAAAAAAAAAAAAGAGTTCAAGTGGGGGGGGCGCATGCGCGGAAAGCATGGAGTAGTCGAGTTTTTTTGAGCTGCTCTCTAATAACATTGATTTTCGAATATAACTCCATCTTTCGTGTCTTTATTCTATTTAATAACTATCAGTCATATCTTGGATTTACTCTTAATAGTTCGAAGTAAGATTTCAATTATTTTCGTAACTTTTTGGGTGTTTTACCGACTTTTCTTGATTCATCGCGTGCTCGATCATGGCGTCTAGAAAGTCTTCAAAAACCGTGACTGCTGTCAGGGATGATATCGCCGCGTGTGACACTCTATCTCAGGCAAATGTGAGTGTTATACTGGCTGCAATAAACTCGCAAGGTGACGATCTGAAGAAATTAATTGACGAGAAGATGACCGCTTTGAGTGGTCGGCTGGATACACTGGATGCGGCGATGGCTAATTTGCAGTCGGAACAAACTGGCTTTAATCTAAAATTAGTGGATGTGGAAGAAGCACTGAATGAGGTGGACCGACGCGTCGGAGAAACTGAAAAAAAGTGCCAGGAACTGCAAGCTGAGAACAAATCATTATGGACTAAGCTGAATGACTTGGAAGGCCGATCTCGAAGGCTCAACTTAAAATTCGTTGGAATATCTGAAGGGGAGGAACAGGGCAGCACTTCGCGGTTCATCTCGGACGTGATCACTGAACTATTTGGCAACGAACATTTTCCAAAGCCCGTCAAAATCGATCGGGCACACCGTGCCCTTCTACCAAAGCCATCTGCGGGTCAAAGACCCCGCACAATTATTGCAAGACTTCATCATGATAGGGACAAAGATTTAATTCTTCGCCTCAGCAGGGAGAATTTCCCGCTGAAGTACAAGGGCAGCCAGATATATATTTTTCCTGACTACAGTCCCGAGGTCACTGCGCAGCGCCGTGCTTTTGGTCCGATCACGCGAGCTTTACGCGCAGCTGGCATGAAATGGTCGCTGCGCTTTCCAGCAAAATTGATGTTGACTCATAATGGAAAGTCGATGTCATTCACATCTCCTGAAGAGGCAAAAAAATTTGTGGATGTACTTCCTAATGTTTCGATCTGATCCCTGGTCAGGAAGTTCTATGACCATCACGCCTGAATGTTTAGACTAAAGCAGGTCGCACACCAGAAGCGACGCTCGGCGGCGCGCCGCGCAGCGCCACGTATTTTAGAATTCTAATCATAGGTTTCTATCAGGATACACACACCGGCGCCGCAAGTCGGCGGCTGTCGGCGGCGCCCGGCGACGGCTCAGGACGCAGTTCATTTTTCAGCCGCGCCACAGAGCGCCATCTGATTAGTTTCATGTTAAATATCATTCGAATGTGCGCGTCTGGTGTGCGATACTTTAATCTGTCATGTACGCGCCGTGTCGCGGCGCCGAGCGGCGCTTCTGGTGTGCGACCTGCTTAAGACTGATAGTTTTTTTTTCTTCTGATGGACCAATGACTATGACACGCGAGGTAGAGGAATAATAACATTATTTGCAGAGAGTGGACCCTCTCGAGTTTTTTTTTTTTCTTTCTTCTCTTTCTCCCTTACTGAAGGTTGCTATTTTCATTTTTAAGTTTTTTTGTGTGGCTGCTTTTTCTTTTATCAGTCCTAGGTAAGATTTGTACTCTTTGCTTTGTCCTCTTGCTGGCTCCGTGAAGATGGGGGGGAAATGCTGTTCTGCACTGGGGTTTGGGATGGGGTTGGGGCTGTTACCACATTTTTTTTTGTTGCACCAATTGTTTACGGCACTTATAAGTTTTTATGTAAATAAGCTGGACGGGTTTTATGATGTTTTCTTTCTGATTGTTATAATAATGATTGTTAGAAGAAACAAAATATGAATGTGAATTTTGTCAGTTGGAATGTAAGAGGAATGGGGCACCCGATAAAACGTGGCAAAGTGTTTGCACATTTAAAGTCTTTATCAGCTGATATAATTTTTCTTCAAGAGACTCATATTAGAGCTAATGAACAGTTAAGACTGCGGGCAAATTGGATCTCTCAAGTATACCAAGCAACATTTTCTTCCAAGGCAAGAGGTGTGGCTATTCTTTTCAAAAAGTCGATTCCATTTCGTTCTCATTCAGTAATATCAGATCCAGGGGGCAGATATGTTATTGTATCGGGCTGTATTAATAATGTTCCAATCACATGTGTTAATGTGTATGGCCCTAACATTGATGACCCGGCTTTTTTTAGGAAATTATTTGGACTCCTTCCAGATACCAATGCTACTAACGTAGTAATCGCGGGAGATTTTAATTGTTATTTAGATTCTTATCTTGACCGCTCTTCAGCTCGTGTTCCTTCTCCTATCCAGTCTGTTGGGGTTCTAAATAGTCTTATTAAGTCCATGAATTTTGTGGATGTATGGAGATTACTGAATCCTACTGGTCGGGATTATTCTTTTTTTTCTCAAGTTCACAAATCTTACTCTCGTATAGATTATTTTATTATTGACTCCAAAATTATAAAAGACGTTGTTCAATCTAAATACCATAACATTCTAATTTCGGATCATAGCCCCGTCTCACTAGGTTTAAGTTTGTCTTTACCAAAGAACCAATATTGTTGGCGTTTTAACCCTAACTTGCTAATGGATAAAAAGTTTACCTCATTTCTTTCAAATCAGCTGAGTCAATTTTTAGAGACCAACGATAAAGGAGACGTATCTGACTCATGTTTGTGGGAAACCTGTAAAGTTGTTTTGAGAGGACATATTATTGCTTTTGAATCTGCACATAAAAAGGAAAAACGCAAACGACTATTTGAGATTGAAAATATCCTTCCTTCCTTGGAAAAAGCTTTTCAAGAATCCAAAGCTCAATCAGACCTTAATGAAATTTTAAAATTGAAATACGAATATAATTCAATTCTGAGTGATCAGGTCTCTAATGTACTATTGAAGCTTAAGCAGAAACATTTTGAACTCAGTGACAAAGCAGATACTTTTCTTGCTCGTCAGCTTAAAGGGGTGCAGGCCAGTCGTGCTATTCATCAAATTAGAGCTCAAAATGGTGATTTGGTAACGCATCCTAAAGAAATCAATGACTGCTTTACAGAATTTTATGAGCATCTTTATTCTTCAACCAGTCCAGTAATGAGTGACTTGGGACATAGCTTTCTCAATAAAGTGAACTTTCCAAAGCTTAGTGATAGTGCTAAAAAGGAATTAGAACAACCTTTCGATCTTAGTGAAGTGCTGGGAGCAATTAATTCCCTTCCCAGTGGAAAAGCCACAGGTCCAGATGGGTATGGAATTGAATTTTATAAAGCAAATGCATCTACATTGGCTCCTCTCTTGCTTCGTATGTTAAATCACTCAATTGAGCTAAATAAGTTTCCTGACTCTTTATATGAAGCGTTTGTGTGTCTTTTGAAGAAAAAAGACAGAGATGATACTGAGCCAGCTAATTACAGACCAATTAGTCTTCTTAACAGTGATCAAAAGGTTATCGCAAAAATTTTGGCTACTCGATTAAACAAACATGTGGATTCATTAATTCATTCCGACCAAACTGGCTTTATTTTGGGAAGGTTCTCCTTTTGTAACTCACGCCGCCTATTAAACATTTTATACAACAATCAGTCAAAAAAATCTAAGGCAGCAATCCTCTCCCTGGATGCAGAGAAAGCCTTTGACCGAATTGAATGGAGTTATATGTTTTCTGTTCTAGAGAGATTCGGCTTTGGTGAAAATTTTATCAGGTTAATTAAAATGCTTTACTTGGCTCCTAAGTCTGCAATTCTCACAAATTCTGATCGATCTGCATTTTTCCAGCTACAGCGGGGAACACGACAGGGGTGTTGTTTAAGTCCGCTGCTGTTTGATCTGGCCCTAGAACCCTTGGCTATATACTTACGTACCCATTCTGAGATTCGAGGTATGCCCTGTGGAAAATTCGAGGTTAAACTATCTTTGTATGCTGATGATTTAATATTATTTTTAAATGACCCATCCACCGCTTTTCCACATTTAATGGAAACACTTAATATTTTTGGTTCCTTCTCTGGTTATTCAGTTAATTGGGGAAAAAGTATGTTTTTGCCTCTGGGAGATGGCTTGGACTCTGGATTTTTGAAATCTCTGCCTGTTAAAATTGTAGATAATCATTTCACCTACTTGGGATTAATTATCCCCAAACATTTTAAGGATATTTATAGATTAAATTTTCTAGCGGCTATTAACAAATTAAAATTATCTATCGAGAAGTGGAGGATTCTTCCATTATCATTAATAGGCCGAATTAATGCCATCAAGATGGTTATTTTGCCTCGTTTTCTTTATCTTTTTCAGAATTTACCCATATTTCTCCCAAAATCCTTTTTTAAATTGTTAGATTCTGTGATTTTTCCTTTCATTTGGGGATATAGGGCACACAGAATTTCAAAACCCCATTTGCAAAAGTCTAGGGAAGTGGGAGGGCTAGCAACGCCCACATTCCGTCAATACTATTGGGCAGCTAACATGAGGGCTATGATGTTTTGGCATGAGTGTGATCAAGTTGCTTCTGATCAGTCAGATATATGTCCTAAGTGGTTACAGTTTGAGGCTTGTTCAGTTGGCAACATTTCTTTGGCTGCAATTTTGTGGTCGAAAGCTCTATCACTGAAAAAAGTTCAATGTAAGAATATTATTGTTCTTAATTCTATTAAAATTTTAAATCAAGTGAAAATGACATTAAAGATCGAGCATCCCTCTGTTTATTTACCTATCTGCAAAAATCATGATTTTGTGCCTGGACAACTTGATAAGATCTTCACTTTTTGGAGTAACAATGGACTGCGTTCAGTAAAGGATTTTTATGTAGATAACAAACTGGCCACATTTGAATACTTATATAAAACTTTTGGACTCTCACAATCACACTTTTTTCGTTATTTACAGGTGCGTCATTTTATCAAACACAACTTTCCACAGTGCGAGGAAGTCTCTCTTGACCATGATTTGTACAAGCTTTTGAGGCAGTGCCCAATGGAGAAACATTTAGTGACCAAATTTATAGATCTGTTTTCTTCTCACGTCTCGGTCTCTACTGCACATCTGAAAGATTCTTGGGAGAGGGAATTAGGAATTGACATTTCATCCTCTACCTGGGAGGAGGGATTGAGTCGTATTCATTCTTGTTCTATAAATGTAAGGCTACAGCTCATTCAATTTAAAGTGATGCATAGATTGCACTATACAAAAGCCAAACTTAATAAGCTGTATCCTTTTGTCTCTCCTCTGTGTGATAAATGCAAAGGCGCAGTCGGGACCTATGGTCATATATTTTGGTCCTGTCCAGAAGTATCTGAATTTTGGAAAAGTATCTTCGGACTTTACTCCCAGGCTTTTGAAATGGACATAAAAATTGATGTAGAAATAGCATTGTTTGGATGGTCAGACCAGGCTCTAACTTGGCCTAAACATCAACAACTCTCCTTTATGTTTGGCATGGTGTTGGCCAAGAGAGTGATTCTGATGGAGTGGAAATCCACAACACCTCCAAATTTTTTTAAATGGTTAGCTGAAATGGTTTCTGCCCTCAAGTTGGAAAGGATACGCTTCTCTAGATTTGGCAAACAAAAGTTGTATGACAAAACATGGGGCCCCTTCCTCAGATGTATAGGTTATTAATGTTTCTGTAATATTTTTTTTTTTCTGGTAATTTTTTTTTTCTTCTCTCCACTTCCTTTTTACATGTTATTCTATTCTGTCTCTTATTCCATCAGTCTGGCTAAAATTTCTTTATTGTTTTGTGATGGTGCTGTAAAATTGCTGTTATGTTTGCTTGTGTTTTGGTGCATGTTCTAGTTAGTATAAGGTAATAACACTGAGACAAGTTTGTCAACATATATATATGATGTACATTATTTGGTGTTATGTTCTTACAAAAACTTCTATAAATAAAGTATAAAAAAAAAAAAAAAAAAAAAAAAAAAGAGTTCAAGTGTTATGAGTTTCTTTCTTCTATTGAACACAAAAGAGGATATTTTGAAGAAAGCTGGAAATCTGTACCATCGACTATTAAAATACTATGTAAGTTACTGGCTTCCAGTGTCTTCATAAATAAATATTATTGTGTGGTTAACAGAAGAAAAAAACAAGTAAATGATGACAGATTTTTCCTTTTAGGGTGAACTATATACTTAAGCCCTGTTGTGACAACAGCACAATCCTCACAGCGGTCTAAATAAATGCACCTATTCATGGCAACAAAACAACATGCCATACTAGACTGACAGAATAATCAAGTATAGTTAAAGGAGCAAGCAGATGGAAATCTAGCTTTTTGACACATTAATTGTGACATGTTGAAAGCTGCGAAAATATTCAGAGTAGTTTATCAATTTAAGGGATAGTTCACCTGCTAATTTTTACTGACCCTCAAGTGTAATGCAATGTGTATTTATATAGCGCATTTATCATGTATGACCTACACACAAAGCGCTTCACAATCATGAGGGGGTCTCTCCACACCACCACCAGTGTGCAGCATTCACTTGGATGATACGACGGCAGCCACAGGACAATGGCGCCAGTGCGCTCACCACACACCAGCTATTGGTGGAGTGGAGAAACGGTGATACAGGCAATTAAGTGAATGGAAATGATTGGGAGGCCATGACGGTTAAGGACTAAGAGGGAGTTCAGCCAGGACACCGGGGTTACACCCCTACTCTTTACGAGAAGTGCCATGGGATTTTGAATGACCGCAGAGAGTCAGAACCTCGGTTTAACTTCTAATCCGAAAGATGGGTAAAGTGGTTACAAACCTAGGTACTTTGAATACAAAATGGGATATTATGAAAAATGTTAGTAACATTTACCCACTGACATCCACAGTAAAAAAACAAAAACAAATACAAAGTCAATGGGTACAGGTTTAAAACAATTGGTGTATTGGTGTAAATGTAATTCACATTTTAAAAATTTATTCATAAATAAAATAAAATAAAAAACTAAAGTAACACTAAACAAAAGGAAACATTTACAAACACTTTAAACATGTACAGTTGAAGTCAGAATTATTAGCCCCCCTGAATTATTAGCCCCGTTTATTTTTCTCCCCAATTTCTGTTTAAGATTTAACACATTTCTAATCATAATAGTTTTAATAACTAATTTCTAATAACTGATTTATTTTATCTTTGTCATGATGACAGTAAATAATATTTTACTAGATATTTTTTAAGACACTTCTATACAGCTTAAAGTGACATTTAAAGGCTTAACTAGGTTAATTAGGTTAACTAGGCAGGTTAGGGGAATTAGGCAAGTTATTGTATAACGATGGTTTGTTCTGTAGACTATCGAATATATATAAATATATATTGCTTAAGGGGGCTAAAAATATTAACCCTAAAATGTATTTAAAAAAAAAACAGCTTTTATTCTAGCTGAAATAAAACTAATAAGACTTATATGATAAAAAAATATTATCAGACATACTGTGAAAATGTACTTGCTCTGTTAAACATCATTTGAGAAAATATTTAAAAAATAAAAATTCAAAGTGGGCTAATATTTCTGACTTCAACTGTAAATCAGTATGAAAAAATAAATGCTTTCAATTTAACTGTATTGATATTACAAAGAAGAATTTAAACATTTAAATATATTTATTTTACACACAAAAATAATATTTGTTTTGTATGCCTGTCAGAGACAAACTGATATATGTCATGGAAATCCCAGGGAATGACTGAGGTCTGAAAATTATAGAGCAGTTTCACTTTAAGAAAGTGAAAGTGGTGTTGGGTGGGGTTCGGTTTAAATGCTGCTGAGAGCTTTGAGTGACATACAGGATTTAGCTCCTCTCGGTTGACCTTTCGGCGATACAGGAACAGGGCAGTGATAGTATTCCCAGCTCGAGCTGCCTGATTAGGAGTTGGAGTCACGTACAAGAAATCCTGTACAAAAACATGCAAACAATTTACAAAAGAAGCAAATCTGAAAGAATTAATACTTTCCACACAAAAATGTAAGTGATATTTTCCCATCCTTGTTAAATAGGATGAGAATCTGAAGGATCACTTGAATCTATATATATATATATATATATATATATATCTATATCTATCTATATATATATATATATATATATATATATATATATATATATATATATATATATATATATATATGTATGTATGTATATATGTATACAGTGTATACTAGACAGTATTTAAAAAATTTAGTAGGTGCGGTGGCGCAGTGGGTAGCGATGTCACCCTACAGCAAGAAGGTCGCTGGTTCAAGCCTCGGCTGGGTCAGTTGGCATTTCTGTGTGTAGTTTGCATGTTCTTACTCGTGTTCATGCGGGATTCCTTCGGGTGCTCCGGTTTCCCCCACAGTATAAAAACATATATACACATGCACTATAGGTGAATTGGGTAAGCTAAATTGTCCGTAGTGTACGTGTGTGAATGAGAGTGTATGGATGTTTCCCTGTGATGTGTTGCAGCTGGAAAGGTATATGTTGAATCATCTGCTAAATAAGTTGGTGGTTGATTCTGCTGTGGCGACCCCTGATTAATAAAGGGACTGAGCCAAAAAGAAAAAGAATTAATGAATGTAGTAGCGAGTACTGTATACTGGACAGGAAGCAGTAAGCATGTCTGCCATTTGAAACACAGTCAATTTCAATCGGCATACAAAAAAACTTTCAGATAAATGTGTTGACATTTAAGAGAATTTGGACTGAAATTCCAGCAGTTACCAAACCCATTAATAGCAGAATCCACAGGCAATAGATTACTTAGCTAAGGAATATAATGTGTGAACAGAAGAAAACTGGACAGAAGTTCTTTTTAGTGACGCAAGCTTCATTACTTTGGATCTCATGGGAAACATTATGCTCATCATCAAACTAAGAGACTGAACCCAGTGTGTGTAGATGCCAGGGGCGGAAAACTAGTGGTTTGGTGTTGTTTTCTCCAGCACAAGTAAGTGTACTTTCAGTGCTGGGATGCGGCTGGAAGGGCATAAAAAACAATTGCTAGTAATAAATCAGGAACTAAGTGAAAGTGAGTGAGTAAGTGACTGAGTGAGTGAGTGAGTGACTGAGCGAGCGAGTGACTGAGTGACTGAGCGAGCGAGTGACTGAGTGAGTGAGTGACTGAGTGAGTGACTGACTGACTGAGTGAGTGAGTGAGCGAGCGAGTGAGAGTGAGCGACTGAGTGAGCGAGTGACTGAGTGAGCGAGTGACAGAGTGAGCGAGTGAGTGATTGAGTGACTGACTGACTGAGTGAGTGAGTGAGTGAGCGAGCGACTGAGTGAGCGAGTGACTGAGCGACTGAGTGAGCGAGTGACTGAGCGAGTGAGTGAGTGAGTGAGTGAGCGAGTGACTGACTGAGTGAGTGAGTGAGTGAGTGACTGAGCGAGTGACTGAGCGAGTGACTGAGTGAGCGAGTGACTGACTGAGTGAGTGAGTGAGTGACTGAGTGAGTGAGTGACTGAGTGAGTGAGTGAGTGAGTGATTCCAGTCATCAATTTACATACAGGACAAACACACCAAAATGTGAAAAGCAAGTGAAAACAACAAACTTATGGCTAAGAAACCCACTATAGACTGTGAAAGTGACTGAAGAAATTCACACTAGGCGAGTGATGTCCTGTAGCAGCAGATGTGCTGAAATCATTCAAGGCAAGGACCTCTGATCTTCTCATTTTAAAGTCTTCAGAAAACATTATACTGTATGCACTTGTAATTTTCAATCAGCATCCCCTTCTCACTTCTCAAAATGCTGTCAGTGCTCTCAGTGGAAATAAGCATTTTAAAGGGGTGGTCCAGAGTGTATTTTTAAGGCTTGGTTGTGTTTATATGATGCAAAGCAATGTGTGTTCATGCCTTACTTGTAAAAAATCACGTTGTTATTTTTTTCATATATCTTACTCTGATTATATATAGCTCCTCAGCAAACATGATCACGCAGCTACATTACACATCAGCTAAAGTTTAAAAATATGATGTTGTAGTGTACACCTTTAATTCTCCACAACTGACAGCAAACCCTAATTCACATCTGTTTTACAGTTTTTTCAGTCACTTTGGTGCATTTCTCACAACACTAGTGCATTTCTGCACAATAGTTAGTGCATTTCTCAAAACAATTAGTACAAACTGCAAAACCTAGTTTATAACCTGCAATTGTGCATCACTTGATTAAAATAGATAGTTCATTCCTCAAAATCAAGTATTGATGTCAATCAAAGTGTCAGAATCATCATATTGAAAAGTCCTGACACCATTGTTTATGAACAAGTTAGTCAAATGGCTGTCATGTTTTCATTATGTCAGTTTACTCTGGACATTTTTTTCAATGCAAAAAAGTCGGATTTTGGTGACACTTCCTGAAAATGCTCAAGACAGCAGTATATACTCAGTCATTTGAAAACTACCGTAAAGTTAGACATCACTGCATTTAGTGAGATATCTGAGTACAAGACACTGAATATGTATGTTTCCCATTTTTACTGCATTTGCTCGTTGCAATTCAAATTTATTCACAGCATTGTGCAAAATAATAAACACACCCTTATTTACAACAAACATAAACTCCCTTTGGGTGGAGCTCTGCACAACTGTAAACAATACTGCAGTACATATTGGAACTAAACCCACAACATACACAGGTCTGTAAATCATTCATGAAATTGTTCAATTTAGAAGACATTTTCAGGAAAATAAAGATTTCATTATTTTTAAATAAAATTTGCTTGACAGATTTTGACAACTAGTTCAACATTTTTGTTTGTAATGACTCAAGTAATGAAATGAGGACTATTAGTTTTATATAGAATGACTGTTCAGCATTTACAAGTTTAGTTAATTTTGACTGATGTGACATAAGCAAATGATAATGTTATAAATTACAAATAGAGTTGTGTGAAAGCAATTGATGCATGTCCAAAAACATTTGCAATTTGTTGGAAAGAATGAGAAACTGCTACTAAATAGTGTTGTGAGAAATGCACCAAAGCCACTGAGAAAAATTGTAATTTAGTTTGCAATGCTCAGTTTCTCAAAATCCAATCAATTCCAGATGGATGAAATTAAATTCCAACCAACTTTATCTCTATTTCACAGATATGTCACAACCAGTGGTGGAAAGAGAACTGAAAGATCACTCAAGTAAAAGTACCACTATCTGCCTAAAAATGTAGTACAAGTTGAGTACTAGGTATCTGTTGTAAATACTACTCAAAGTATAAGTGAAAAGTAGACCTAAGAAAAGTAGTGTGTAGTGAGTATTACAAAGTGAAATGCTGATATATTTACATGTAATTTGTGGATGTGTGTAAATTTAACATTATGCAATACATTTAATTATTGCCCAGCAGGCACACAATGTCATAAGACATTAATATTAGGTTAGATTTAGGTTGTGATGTCAGGGGACCAAAATTCAAGTTTAGCAAGCATCAAAAGACAACGTTATTTTGAAGTCTAATAATGATGTCATATGACGATGGTATTTGGTTGATTTTAGGTTGTTTTAGAAAGTGATCAAAATCCAACGTCAAGCCAACATCTTTATCCAACTTCATATTGACGTCAAACATCTGATAACATTTATATGTCAGGTATGGCAACCAAAAGGATGTCTGATAGACGTCATCATGATAACGTTCACACAACGTCAACCTGTAACAACATTAGACATTGATATTTGGTTTATTTCAGGTTAAACATTGGACATTGGATATTGAATTTTAATTTCCAAGCAAAATGCAATGTCTCCACGACGTTGGGGTATAATGTCAACTTGATGTCATGTTGATGTCTTGTGCATGCTGGGTGTTTAAGACTATTTCGGTCATCATACAGCAAACATCCATCATCTTCTCATCAGTGACATGATTTAAACAGTCTCTGGGTCAAGGTTTTGGACATCGTCTTGGACACTTTTAATGCTTCCAAGCAGTAATAAATCACCTTGAGGTCTTGAGGTCGTTTATTATTATGCGATTTAACTTCTATGTGCGATTTGATTGGACAGAATCACAGGACTGATTCTTCTAATAGTAGTAGTGGAGTAAAAGTACAGATACTGCACTAAAAATGTACTCAAGGTAAAAGTACACATTTTTAAACTACTTAGTAAATTACCATTTCTAAGAAAACTACTCAATTACAGTAATTTGAGGATTTGTAATTTGTTACTTTACACCACTGCTCACAATAAAGGAAAAAGAATAGTTTCATACTGATCCAATAAAAATGTGATAAGTGAAAATGAGAAATCTTAAAGGCTCACTTACCATGCCATAGTAGTTACTATTGACCATGATTGGACTCCGGCTCCGGAGGTAAACATACTCCTCCCACCAGTCACTAACCTGGAGGAAACAAAAGATTAATTCACCTTTTCAATTTTAGAAATGACACACTGTTTTATTTTAATCAAATGTTTAAAAATAACTAAATACAACTTGAAGATCTACAACGGCTCTACATTCTTTTTATGTTAACCCTTCACACACGACTTTAACATGGTCATGTAGTTGGTTATACAAGTGTCAGAACATTGCTTTAATATATACATTTGAAGTCAGAATTATTAGTCCCCCTTTAAATATTTGGGAATGTATTTTTTTAATTCAACAGAGCAAGAAAATTTTAAAAGTATGTCTGATAATGTTTTTTTTCTTCTGGAGAAAGACTTATTTGCTTTATTTCGGCTGGAATAAAAAGCAGTTTTTAATTTTTTTAATAACCATTTTAAAGTTATTAGCCCCTTTAAGCTATATATATATATATATATATATATATATTGATAGTCTACAGAACAAAAGTATCATTATACAATAACTTGCCTACTTAAACTAACCTGCCTAGTTATGAGTTATTAAAACTATTATGCTTAGAAATGTGTGGCAAAAAAAAAATGTATGACAAAAAATAGGGCTCCATCCTTAGATGTCTAATAATGTCTCTGTAATCATTATTTTTGTAATATATTTTTTTATTCTTCTTATTTACACATCATTCTATTTTGTTTCTTATTCCAGTAGTCTGTCTAAGATTTTTTTTTTAATTGTGCTGTATTGTTTGCTAGTGTTTTGGAGCATGTTCTAGTTGGTATGAGATAATAACACTATAAAGATAATTTTGTTAACATGTATGCATGACGTACCCTATTTGGTGATATGTTTTCATAAAAACTTCTTTAAATAAAAAAAAATGAAAATAAAAAAGTTGAATGCTTCATGATTGTTATAAAAGGGTTGTAATTTATCAATTTTTATGCTGAAATAAAATGCCTCAAACTGCTCTTGAGAGCAATTCAATTTGGTTTGAAGCATTTATCATTCGATACTAATGCATTTTTAATTAACTTAACCTATTATGCTAAGAGGTTTTAAACAGCTACGGTACTGTATGCGACTATAGTACATCCTCATGTCATGATAACTATGATAGCTAAAGTAATGACCAGAAAATAACCGATTTCATCACATACATAGTTTGTGGCCCACAGTGCTTTGAGTCTGAGGTATCTCTGCAGGCGGTTACCAAGACTTTTCTCAAACTCTGAAGTCAGTCTTCTCATTCTCTGGAAACCGTCCAAATCCAGCAGTGGCTTGACTGATTCTAGATACTAAAACAGAGAGAACAGCTGAGAAGCATTCATTGGCGCCAAATAAACCCTGCAGGCAGGGTCATTGGTAAGATAACATTTCCCAGAAAACAAGCACTCATGCATATTATAAGCACCCAACTTAATACATATTTTATTGGCTCACTCTTTCCAGTGTGTCTTTAATGGGAGGTACTGGCAGGTGCGGTAATGACGTCTGATAGCTGTACAGCAATGGCTTTCTAGAGGACAACAACTTCACTAGGGTCTGACAGGGAAGACAAGAAAAATGGTAAACAACACAAATATATACACGGTTCAATAAAGCAAATCTGATCAGATTGATTGCGAGATTTTTGTTCCCTAAATGTCTGTAATGAGATATCTCTGAAGGGTTGGCCTTGGCCTTTTCAGTTCATTCCAGATGCACTGACGTTTTTAATGCCATAAACAGGCTTCAGGATTTGCACTGGGATGTCTCAAAGAGCACAGAATTACTAAGCTCTTTGGATGTGTTTAATTTTCTTGTCGAACACTGTTCTTCTTTGAGTTCATCACCATGGTTATATTCTCTAGCTGGCTAATAGACCCTGGGAATCTACATTACAAGTTGTAGCTGGCTATGTTTGTTTAAGAAAGCAGGAGCGCTCAATGTAAACCAGTGAAAATTACAACAGAGAAAACAAATCTTTTTAAAAAAAAACACACAAACACTCAGAATAAAATAGACTAACGTGTATACACTTTTATAAACGCTCTTTGTGTGTCTGAGCAGATGATAATATGTATTCTGTCTCCAGCAGTGAAGTGTAACTGGAGAAGCCAAACACTGATGCAGAGGGGGCGGATGAAATAAACAGACCAGTTTATCCGTTACTGATAGGGTATCAACAAGCTGCCGCAACAAAACATTTCCAGATAGGGTTTTCTTCATTACCTACTGTACAAGCACTTACAGTTTATTACTGATGAGTGTACAAAAATATAGCGATCAATGGGATTTAGGCTCCCTTGTCCTAAACACCCAGAATGCATTGTCCTGCTTACAACATGTTCCCAAGCTCTATACAGATGAGGATTTGTTGAAAATCCAAAAACGACAATGTAAAAGTCTATATACACTCACCGGCCACCTTATTAGGTACACCTTACTAGTACCAGGTTGCACCCCCTTTTCCCTTCAGAACTGTCTTAATCCTTTATGGCATAGAATCAAAAAGATACTGGAAATATTTCTTAGAGATTTTGGTCCATATTGACATGATAGCATCACACAGTTGCTGCAGATTTGTCGGCTGCACATCCATGATGCAAATATCCTATTCCACCACATCTCAAAGGTGCTCTATTGGATTGAGTCTGGTCACTGTGAAGGCTATTTCAGTACACTGCAGTATCAGAAGATGGTACACTGTGTGTCATAATGGGATAGGCATGGTCAGCAACAATACTCAGGTAGGCTATGGCGTTGACATGATGCTCAATTGGTACTAATGGGCTCAAAGTGTGTCAAGAAAAAATCCCTCACACCATTACACCACCACAAGGTTATTATAGTTAACAAAAAAATGAAAACTAACATTTTAAATAATTGTCGTTAACTGAAATAAAAATGAAAGAGTTTTTTTTTTAAAAACTAGAACTAACTGAGACTGTATTGTGTACATACAAAACTAACTGAAACTAAAATTACAGCAAAAACCTCCTGCGTTTTCGTCTTTGTAAATGTATTTCATACATAATCTTACTGTATGCCTTTTAGAAGTAAATATAATTCGCGCTGCAGGTGTTTGACCCGTACGGCACCTCAGAGTCTGTAGTCCTGCTGCCATGGGCCAGATCTACCCGGTTATAACTTTAACACATTTTTGTCCAATATTGGGGTTTGTTTCTGTATCGCGAACAAATCGTTTTAACAGGATCTTCTAAGTGAACCAGTTTAACTAGTTCTCCAAATTGAACTGAATCATTTGAAACGTTTTTTGAAATCATTTGATTTTCGTCTCCAGTAAGCACTTATCCACAAACTACTTCCTTTTTAACAAGCCTAATACCCCCCTCTGACTCGAAATAATCCAATATATACTCTCATTCAGTTATTAAAACAGTAATGTTACACTAAGATCGAATTTGAGAAGCGGTTAACCGATTATACTGAGCATGCGTGATTCAGTGAACCAAAGACAAACAGTACTTGACAGCATGCTGTGACTGAACTAAACTTGAACAACAGAACCGTGAGTAAACCGAGGGCTTAAATGAGAGGATCTGGTGAAAAACGTAAGTTTATTTCATAATAGAAAATCGTAATGGAACTTAAATAAGTGTATCATGATTCAGTTGGGTTGCAAAACTTTACTGTAAGACATTTTTCAGATCATGGTGGTTTTAACTGACTGAAATTACTATTGCTGACTATATAATGTTGAGTCCTAACATCCACGTTAAAGATCTGAACTTCCTATCACCACTGTGTCTCTAACCTCAGAAGCAGCCTTGCACAAATATTGTACTTAAGGCTGCTATCTTGTGGGCTGCTATGTTGATGCTTAGAGATAATCTTCTGCAGACCTCGGTTGTAACAAATGGTTATTTGAGTCACTGTTATCTTTCTATCAGCTTGAACCAGTCTGACCATTCTCCTCTGACATCACAAAGGCATTTGCTCCCACAGAACTGCCGCTCACTGAATATTTTTTTGTTTTCAGACCATGCTCTGTAAACCCTAGAGATGGTTGTGCATGAAAATCCAAGTAGATCAGCTTTTTCTGAAATACTTAGACCAGCCCATTTGGCATTAACAAGCCACGTTCAAAGTCACTTAAATCACCTTTCTTCCCCATTCTGATGCTCGTTTTCAACTGCAACAAATCATCTTGACCATGTCTACATGCCTAAATCCATTGAGTTGCTGCCATGTGATTGGCTGATTAGAAAATTGCGTTAAAAAACAGTTGGACAGGTGTACCTAAAAAAGTGGCCAGTGAGTGTATTTTAAATGGGGAAAATTTTTCAAATAAATATAGATTAATAATACACTTTGTGCCATCATACTGTTTTACAAAGTACATATAAGACATAAAATGCATTACATCTATTGAGAGTGCTCATCAAAATCACCCAAAACAACAACCTATGCATGTACCTTGTAAAGCTCACATTGTGGAGACCTCACAAATATAGCAATACCAGTCATTTTTTATATTGCGGGGACATTTTTTTTAGCCTAATCTGGAAAATGAAACATAAACCACAAAGAATAAAGTATTTTGGAAATGTAAAAAATGCAGATTGCTTCCTGTGAGGGTTGGGTTTAGGACTATGGTGGGGATTGGGGTTAGGGGGATAAAATATATAGCTTGTGCAGTATGAAAAGCATTGCATCTGTGGGAAGTCCTTATAAAGATAGCTGTACATGCATGTGTGTTCAGTAATAATCATAATAATAAGTAACATATTAAACTAGATTACATATAGATTAGATTACATACAAATTCTACTATATAAGCATGCTTTATTAATGTATTGTATTGCAGGCCAAGTAAAAATCTGAACACATGCTCAGAACACAAATCCTTTTTGTTATTGTTTCAAGAAAGAATGAACTAAGAAAAAAAATGAAAATGTATTTTTTTAAACCAGGCTGAAAGTAATGAAGCACTAACCGCCCACACTTTGGTCTTGGTAGACATATGACCATGTTGTTCAAACATCCACCTGTGGTAGGACAAGAGAAGCTTCAGGCAGAACCTCAGAGTCAGAATGAGAGACATCCAGAGCAGAGTACTGAACAGCAGCGCCGACAGCATGGTCTGACCTTGAGGACTCAATGACAGACTGACAGTACACAAACACAGCAGAAACAATCAGCAACATCACTTCTTGGTCAACATTAGCTGCAGACAACACAAATATGACTATACCTTAATTTTTAGACTTTTTTCAAGCATGCAGATTTATGATTACACACCAAATGTGGAGCAAACAGTGGGCTTTAATAATAAATGAAATGAAACAAGTCAGAATCAGACACAAATAATCTTTCTTGTTAACACAGAATCTCTTTTGTTTTTTCGATAAAAAGTAAAAAATAAAAATAAAATACTCAAGTGACAAACAAACTTCTCAAATACTGGACTTTCAGAAAAAAAATGAAAGTGTTAAAATGTGCACGTTTACCAAGTTGCCAATCTCTAATACAATTAGAAATGTCAAGGTTAACTCACTTTTCCAAATATCAAACTATTAGGCTATTATATTTCCTTTTCATTTAACAGTCCTTTAATCTTTCTCTATGTAAATGGTATTCTTTGAGTTTCATATAGAAAACATCTAATTAAACAGCAAATAATTCTTAATAATTCTTGAAAATGACTAGAAATTACCACAGTTATTTTCAATTTAAGACCCTACGCTAAACATTTATAAACATAAAAGTGCCAGGAAGAACCAAACTGGGGTTTTCAGTGATGCTAGTGGTTCCTATCTCTCTTATCATATAAAAGTAGTGCAAGGCAAGCAAAAAGGCTAATTGGCAATTAAGTTTTTAATAAAAAACTACAAAGGAGTGAATTTTCTGAACGATGTCTGCTCCAGGATGGAGTAACATATTCTGTCTTATGTCTTTATGATTATTAATAAAGTTGATTGTTTAAGGGCTTAGATTACATGAAGAGTTCAGATGCAAAAACTTCTAAGTGCCATCTGAAGTTTTCTTTTAAAATGAGCATTTGTGTTGTGATGTCACATTGGTATAGTGACATTAATTACATGAAAACCACGCTGAAAGCCCCTTCTGTATGCTGACATTCAAATGTTTGAGAGCACTACACTCTCTAATGCAGCCAAGCGTAAAGGAAGAGAGAGACATTTCCGACTAAAGGTGCACCGAACCAGCTGGGGAACCTTTTCACTGAATTTTATTCTATTACTAAAAGTGTATTTTATTAATTTTCTTCACTAGAGTGGACATTGAATTCAATCGCAGAACCCATCAAGTTACTCCGTGTGGTAAAGTATGAATCTGATTTATTTCTTGATCAAAACATTATAAAGATGCTCCTTTAACTAAACTGTAGCTAAGAAATATAGCCAGGAGAGGATCCTGGTTTTTCTTTATTTAATTAAAGGATTAAATAAAGGTGATCCAGCACAGTGTTTATGTTCAGTTATTTCATAATAAAGGTCATGAAAATAATCTATTCTTTTCCATACAAGTGAAATTACTGAACATAGGAGCCCGGGAAGAATGCTAATTTTAGAAGAAAATCTCAGATGACACTAAGAGGTTTTTGCGTCTGAACTCTTTATGTAATACCCTTAGTGTCATCTCTTCTGAGAAAATATGTGTGTTTAGGCTTGGCGATTTGGCCTAAAATCTCAATTAATTGAACATTTTAATTCAATTATGATTAATGATCAATGAACAATCTGGAATTCAAACACACATTGCCTAAAACGTTCAATTACTTTTTGCTCATAGAAAGGTGAAAATAAATAACTTGCACTTTTTTTTTAACAAAATTAATTATATTCAGTTTTTCAGTTTCAAATTAAAAGTAGAAAATAAAATCTCTTCTAAATAAAATCACTCTTGCATATACTGTAAATAATATTTTCAACTGCATTTCTTGCATTTTCTGTAAACATATTTGAATGTAAATAATAATTTTATGTAATGGATGCCTCAAGGCATCTGTGGCGCAGCTTCCAATCATCATCAATGTAATGCAAAGTAAAGGTCAAAAACAGGTCTATCGTCCTACTTGACCAGAGATCAGATGTGACGACAAAGTGTGGCTAACAGAGCGGGGTCACGTGATTCCACATGCGGTAGGGAAAGTGACTGAAAAAATGGACCTGGAAAAATTAGACAGATTGTAGGTTCTGAATGACGATTTCGATTAACTTTTCGATTAATCGCTTAGCCCTAATATATGTTGTTGCTTTTTTTCAGTGTGTCAAATTATTTGTTTCCTCAGGATTTGCAGGACTAGTCAAGAAGTCACAGAGACCTGTCATGTGGAACTGGACGTTTGATGCTACTAGAACAGCTGTCATTAGATGTGAATTTTACTGTGTCAAAGAATAAAATATTTTTAGATTGGATTGTATGAAAGAAAACTTCAATGCTTAATTAGCTGCCAGTGGAAAGATGCTTATTGTAGTACGTCCGAGTTCCACTCATAATGCTCACATTCATACTGTATAGACCATACTTTTTTTAACGTCTAAGTAGTACATTTGAATTCAAACGCAGTACCTACTGAGTAGTAGGCAGTTTCGGATGCAGCCTAAAGCTGAATTTCATCTCTGGTCATCTGGACCACAGAAATATCCTCCTGTTATTGTATGTCTGATCATTGCATGCTTTGGAGATATCATTGAAGATATTGTTCAGAATTGTATGCACACATGTGGCAATTTTCAAAGTTGATCTGTGTTTAAAAAGTTGATAAAGTCTTATTTGTTTCATTTTGGCTAGAATAAAAGCAGTTTTAACTTTTTTTAAAAACATTTTAAGGTCAAACTTATTAGCCCCTTTAAGCTATATTTTTTTCCCAATGGTCTACAGAACAAACCATCGTTATACAATAACTTGCCTAATTACGCTAAGCTGTAAGCTGTACAGAAGTGTCTTGAAAAATATCTAGTCAAATATTATTTACTGTCATCATGGCAAAGATAAAATAAATCAGTTATTACAAATGAGTTATTAAAACTATTATGATTAGAAATGTGTTGAAAAAAATCTCCTCTCCGTTAAACAGAAATTGGGGGAAAAAATAAACGGTGGCTAATAATTCAGGGGGGCTAATAATTCTGACTTCAACTGTACATCAATGCACAGTTTTGCATTTGCAAACTTTAACAAATGCAGTTGAAGTCATTTTTTTGCCCTCCCATAATTAAAAACTATGTTTCCCAAGTGATCTTTAACAAACCAAGGAGATTTTTTTTTTTATTAACAAAATAATAATTAAGGTCAGTATTATTAGCCTGCTTAAGAAATATTTATTGTGCATTGTTGATTGTCTACACAATAAACCAGTTATACAATAACTTGACTTCCAACTTTCCTTTAGTTAACATAACCTACTTAAGTCTTTAAATTACACTTTAATCTGAATCAAAGACTATAGAATACTTAAAAGGACTGTCTAAATACAACTATCTTGCAAAATAACTAGTAAAATATTATGCACTGACTGTCACCATGGGAAAGATAAAAAGTAGTTATTAGAAATTAGTTGTTTAAACTATTATGTTTAAAAACGTGATGTAAATCAATTATGTGTTGAAGACTCGTGCTTTATGTCACGAATGAAAACAAATGAATGAAGGCGAAACTAAGTGAGTTAAATATGACTTTTACATGAGTGTGACTGAAAACTACATTTGATCAATGTGTTTCATCTATCTGTTCTCTGGATTTACTGCTTGTAAATTCAAGAGAGCATTTTCTAACGTTAAACTATGTACACTCAACTTCTGATTGATGATAATAATGCTTTAAATCGCTATTGAAAACAAAAGTCTAATACAATCAACTGTGGACATTTTGATCATTTTTCACAACATGACTGTAGTTGAATATTTTTATTACCTGGCTTTTGTCAATTTGGGGGTTAACTTCTGACGAATGCGGGAAACTGAGACATGCAGCACCATAACTGACAGAGATTACGAGTGTGCAGGAAAGGAGAGAGAGCGAGTGCGCGCGACACTGAGAGCGCGCCAAAGGAGAGAGAGAGTGCACCTGTTTAAGAAATATACGAGTTTGACCCCTGTGGGCTAAGACATGTTCTTGAGTAGACGATTAATGTGCAAGCATTGTAAGATACTAACCTTAATTTTGTTGATCTAAATCAACATTAATTCTGATACATTATTGAACTTTAATTAAACAGTCATCATAATTTTTTGCCACTACAAAGATCCTTTCTTTTGCATAGCGTGAAGGACCTTTGATTTTCTAAAAAAAAAAAAACTTGTTCCACTATACAGAACTTTATGTGGTATGAAGATTCCATTGCTGTAAAGTTTTGTCAAGGCACCATTGATGCCACTAATGACCCTTCATTTTTTATGTGTGTAGTCTTGTGTTAAAAAATTACTTCATGCATTTAGGACTATCTGAAAGCTTTATAAAAAAAACAGAGCTGCTTGTGCAGCTTTTTGAGGGAATTAAAGGGCACCTAGGTTACCCCTTTTTTCAGATTTAATATAAGTCTTTTGCGTCTCTAGAATGTGTATATGAAGTTTCAGATCAAAATACCCATCAGATGTTTCATTATACCTTTTACAAGATGCCGTTTTATACTGATTTCCAGCAAGGGGTGGTTTTGTCGTACTGCGCCTTTAAGACGATTCTTTCCTGCCCACTTTCTCGCCCACTACATGCCTCCTCCCTCAGCTGCGTCAGACAACAGACAGACTTAAAGGAAGAAGGCCTCACGTAGCGTTTGTGAGATACTACAGTAAGAACTAACCTTTACTAATCGGTATTGTGAAGTTGCATTGATGAGTCACACACAATATCGTTACAAAGTTAATGCGCGCGCACACACACACACACACACACACACCACAGATGACACACACACACACACACACACACAGGCAGGCAGACAGAGCGCGCTTAGCTTAGTTAAGGCTAACCTCAAGTACTGTGTGGATATCTGTTATGCTAATGTACAAAATAAACCTGATTTAACTTCCACAAACCGGGATTGAAGCGTCTTCTTTTAAAATTGTTCTGACACGCGGCTGTGCTGATGAAGTAAAGCTGAAGTAAAACGCTGTAATTAATTACACACATACTCTGTTTTAAAACACTTTAAACATGTGAAACTTACTCTTAATCACATTTGATGATGATTGCTGATCCTAGCGAACAGAAGAGACCTTTTATTCCCGGTTGCTTTGCGTATGTCTGCCTGGTCTTGTTGACATATACACGTGACTACCGGAACATGTTAATGCGCGCAGCTGTCAATCAATTCGGTGGGCGGGGGGGATCGCACACCTACGTAATGGTGCGATCGATTTGAAAACAGCTCCAATTGGCCGACCCTTTTTTTTGTAGTTAAATTGAAAAAAAAGGACTGGGTGTGTTCATATCACCCCAGTATGACGGTCTATACACTATACCAACACACAGATCTGTCCAAACAGCTTGAAAAGTAGATTTTTTACCATAGGTGCCCTTTAAAACAGAATAGGTCTGAATGAGGTTTGTTGTTCTAAGGGCTTAATCTCTATCAGCTTGAATTTTACCATGCAACTTAACCATAAGAGTTACCTAAGGGGCAGGTGTTCCTGGATCTTGGCGATGAGACCCATTGATGGATCGGACTGCATGTACATCGTGGCTAGAATTGCAATGACAATAAAAAGCCACGAGGAGGGGCTAGCTGGATAAGCACCCTTAATGATCCTGTTCTGTCCACAGAAAAGCAAAAAAGTTCATAATTATTAATGCCTCTTATGTACATGCACACACGTTGCACATTTGACTATATTAGGATCTTCATGATGTCACAGAAAATGTATTGAAGAAAACTCTTCTGTGCAGATAACTAGCTTAATTTCCCAACAGAAAAAAACAAAGTTTTGTTTTTTTTTTATTTCCCAACAGAAAAAAACAAAGTTTTGTTTTTTTTAGGTAATTCTATGAGTTCACTGAGTTTGATGATTATTTTTTTCACTGACCTTAATCCTGCTGATGCGCTTCTTCCAGGATCGCAATCCGGAGAGGTAGATTTGATTGAGGGCTTGGTAAGACAGATGCAGGTTGATCCCCTCAGGACTGATGGTGAACTGAAATGCCACTGCTTGGTGAGCCTCAGCCATCACTGTGGACACAAACAACACAATATCATCAGCAAAATGAACAAAAAACTCTGTCTGAAACATGTATACTTCACTTGTGTAATTTGGTCTCAATACAGCATTCAAAATACAAAGTTTTGTTACATTTTGTTTGAAATGGTTACACTGTTTGTTAAGGCAAACACACGAGGAACAGAGTAAAAGACATGAATATCTTAGGGAAGGCCTCTCAAGTAAATTCCTGTCGATACACCATTTACGTCTAGAAACAAATTGAGGCCACAACTAAAACACCAATGACACCTAGTGGTGCATTTATGTACAACAACCATTGACATTTATTGTACAGTTGAACACAGTTTAAAAGAATCTTCTTTAAGGTCTTTTGGTTTTGAATATAAAACTGAGAATTGAAGATGTAAAATTGCATTAATTACATATATACAGAATAATAATAATAATAATAATAATAATAATAATAATAATACAACACAGAAAATGGTGCAATGGACTTTTAAACAGTTAAGACGGAGGAAACCCACGTGAACACAGAGAGAACATGCAAACTTCACACAGAGATGCCAACTGATGCCAACTGACCCAGCTCGAACCAGCAACCTTTTTGCTGTGAGGCATTGTGGTACCCGCTGCGCCACGGTGACGCCCCCAGTTAGACTTGTGTAAAAAAACTTGTTCAATTCTCCCTTTTCTGTCCACCATTTACAAATACTTTGATAGCAAATACTGAACAAGACAAAGTTAAAATTCTTTATAAAATCTGGAGCATTTGTCAGTTGACATTAAAAGGGTTTTTTCAGAATGTGTCTTAATTGAGAATAAGCATTCATCCCCCACACAAACACACACCCAACACAAACATGAGCCTATTCTTATAAAATACAGAACTTACTGGATAATGTTGTAAATAAATTAACCAATTCTATTTTTTCAGGCCATGAACAGTTAATGAGTGCCAAAATGGAAATAATGTAATTCAGTCAATTTTTATTTATGATATTTTATTTAAAGATCACTATTTTATATCAGGGATGCCTTCAAATAGATTTAAATGCTGGTAAAGTAAAAACATAAATAAATAAACACTTTAATTTTGCTTAAATATGCATTGAACATTACATCATTTCACTAAGATTTGTGACTTAACCCTCCTTCTAAAAAATGTACTCTGCTCAGATTGGTCAGATGGACCAGCTTTTGATTGGCCACCACTATTTTTACCATACCACATCAAATTTTTCCAGAGATGGGTTGCAACTGGAAGGGCATCCGCTGCGTAAAACATCCTGAATAAGTTGGTGGTTCATTCCGCTGTGGCAACCCTGGATTAATAAAGAAACTAAGCCGAAAGGAAAATGAATGAATGAATATCAAATTTTATAATATTTATATTTTTCATATCAGAGCGTCAGTTTGATTATGAAATTAAAATAATCAACCCAAACTGCACATACAAGATTTAAGCAAGACATTTCTTAGTGTTTTCTTGTTGTCATGGTCAGACAGACATCAGACATGATCAGATGTTTTGAGTAACGGAGTAGCTGTGAACACTCAGTTGATAATTCTGAGCTCTTGTAAATTCATAAATTTCTTAATTTTCCTTCGGATTACTGCCTTATTTATTAGTTGCCACAGCGGAATTACCCACCAACTATTAGCTTATGTTTTACGCAGCGGATGGCCTTCCATACTGGATGTCTTTGGACTGTGGGGGAGACCAGAGCATCCGGAGGAAACCCATGCAAACACTGGGAGAACATGCAAACTCCACACAGAAATGCCAACTGACCTAGCCGAGACTCGAACCAGCATCCTTCTTGCTGTAAGGCAACATTGCTAACCACTGAGCCACCATGCCACCCTCTCTTGTACACTCTCTCATACTAAAAGTTGAAACTAAGTGTAATAGATTAATTTAGCAGCTTCAGTGATTAAAACATATAATAATAACATATAACAAATAGTTTTTATGAAAATAAATAATTGTTTTTTAATGCTTTTGACACAACTTACACAACACAGACCGACAGGAAGTAATCAGTTCATCAACTGCATGTGATTTTTAGTTTGTAAAGGTCATGTTCCGGGCAAAGTAGATGTTGTCCTCGGGCAGCAAATACGATCATTATCTGGCATTATACAAATTTGTTACTGATCTACAGTTATCTAATCAATACTTTCTTTTAGAGGACAGTAATAACCTTTATTATGCACTTTGATCTTTTAAACTTTGCAGACCTTTTACATCACATACAGTTATGTGAACTACATTCTAAATTATAGCAGCATAACTGGACTATTTTATTTTTATTTTTTAATTACATACTCTGCAGTAATGTAACCTATGTCCACCTCTAGATATTTACAGTTTCATCAAACAAACAAACAAACAAACCCTATGCCCAAACGTATGCCCTTAAAAGTGAAGAAGCCAAGAAACCTTAGTCAAAAAACACACTGAGCAGAAAAAAAGAAAGCAAGCAAGCAAGCAAGCAAGAAAGAAAGGAGCTTTTTTTGTTTCAGGGATAGTTCACCCAAAAATGAAAAATCTGTCATTTACTCACCCTTAACTTGTTTCAAATCGTTATGTATTTATTTATTCAGTTGAACACAAAAAAAAGACCTGTAACCACTGACTTCCATAGTAATAATGGCTTCACTGACTTTTAAGGGCATATTCTGCTATTAAAGTCCCCATGAACCGGAAGCTGCGACAGTTATTTTATTGGTATTGTCATGCAGTTCCTATAAAAATGAAATATTAAAGAAGAAAACAGTGGGTGTGGCTTGTTTTTTTTCTACTGTGGGCTGATTGGATGTAGTAAAGTAGGCATTTCATTCAGAAAAATCGGGAAAAGTGTTAAGGGAAAATTATTACAACCTAACAGACTTCTCCTCCTCACTCTTACTGTTTGTTGTCAAAACTGACTGCTGGACCAATGGGTTTACATATGTTAGCCACACCCATTTGCTTAGATATACATAATTTGACAATGAGCTATATGCGCAGCTAGTGTTTTTCAGCCAACAATGAACTTCCAGTGAAAGCTTTATGTATAAGGCTTCATTTATAAGGTTCCTTTTACAGCATCGATGCTGTGATGCAATTCAAATATAAGGAGTTAAATAGACTTAAGCATCCATTTTGTTGTTAAAGCGTAAAAAGAGACGAAAGACCACTTAAAAGTAGGCGGCATCATTAGCAGCAGTCTAGCGCAAAAACTATTAAAATGCTGGGGCAAAATATAATTTAATGCAGTGCTTCTTGTATGGTCTAATACCCACTTTATATCGTATCTGAGGCAGGCAGTGTTGCTGTTTTTTTTTTTTTTTCCAGAAATCAGATTTTAAACGCTGCTATTTTGTATGAGATGACAATTAACCGGAAGCCTGGGGCTGGCTTACTGAAATTAAAAGTCTGTGTGCAAATACCTCATTTAACTGGAAACAAACAGGAAGTGCATTTTCAGATTTTAATTAAAGATTAGATGAAAACTATTTTTTTCTTAGGGACATGCACAGATTAATTATTTACCTCAAAACTAGCAATGTGAGCTAACAAAGTTATGTGTTTAATTCAGATATATTGGGGAGTTTAAACAGTTTCCACTGCTGGAGGGTTGTGGAGGTATAAATAGTGTGTACTTAGGGTGAACTATCCCTTTAATTGTCAGATAGGGATCTAGCAGGAAACGTCAAAAATGTTAACGAGAAAGGTGTGAATGCTGTTAAACTGGTAAAACAGTAGTAGGCCCAACGATTTCCATGTCTAGAGCCCGCGCGCGCAATGGAGCGCTGCCGTCCACAGACTCATCTCAAGTGCTCTCAAAAGGAAGCACGAGACCACTCGGAGATGTCGTTGCAGTGACGTGTCGCCTGACGTAATCTTTAATTTAAGAGGAAACCCTGAAATCTCGGAAGAAAAAAGTAATTTTCGAAGGAACTCTGACAGCTCCCCTCGAACAAGTTTATGTTGTGCATGCCGATAATAGTTTATTTTGCACATGGAAAATACCTTATGTAGATAAACAGCATCACAAGAGAAAAATAAGTAGCCCAATAAGATACGCAAAAAGTTCCCAAGTTGCGTGCTAGTTTACGCTATTACACAGACAAAAAGTGTTATCAAATAAAGTTGCCCCAAATTTAATTTCTACCTTTAAATGTGTTCATTCAACGAATGGCTTCACTGAATAAGTAAGCAAGCAGAGAGGAATATTTCTGTTGGCTACATTAACCCACGCCTTCAGCTGTCGGGAATATTCCAGAAGGCTTTATGTCATACTTACACAACACATCACAATAGTCTAACCGGTTGCAGTTTTTTAAGTTCCTAAAATAGAAACAGAACTTCACCACAGAAGCATTACGTCTGTAAATCATACCTGTGAGTTTGTTGAATGAAAGTTCGGGAACAGCTTCTTCCGACTGATGTAAACTTTGCGATCTCCACACTTTGACTTGCAGCAACACATACCTGAGGTAAAATGTGTATAAACACTGCCTCTCATTTCAATACGCGATGACATCACGCGCCACTGATGTAGCCTATAGGCATCCAAGTCATTACTTCTGCTGGCAAAATTCAGTATTCACAAAAGCAAGTTCAATGATTGCAAGTCTATTATTTTGAGGTCAAAATTTTAGCTGTATAAAAAAACTATCTGTAATCTGAGAAATAAGAAAGCTGTTAAGTGTATTAATGTATACAAACATTTACATCTTTTTATTTAAAAATTGCCTATTTATTTAAGCACATTTTCCCCAAACAATGTTAGCCTATTTGGTTACATCTTTTGTTCTTACAAAGAAAATGGTATGAAAATTATATTGTATAAGTTAGACAGTTGCTAAATTTAAATACCTTGTTATCTTTTTAATGACTTTTTGATCAACAACTTCATTTTGTATAAGTGACTTTGATATAATTAAACAAAGTTATACTATTAAATGTATCAGAAATATTATAACAGGTGATACAGTTATACATCTTAAAATGGACCAGTGTATTTATAAATATGAAATGGAAATAATTGTTCTTGGGAACTATATTGTGAACATTTAAAATTCTCAAACTAAAGAGGTTATAATGAGATTTAACTTGGATACTAATTAATCTTCTGATTTTTGTTCTATGGAAAAGTACCCTATTGTCCATCTGTCTTGATATTGTACATAGGCTACACAAGGATTTTATAGGTGAATATGGAAAATTCTTTTAGGAAGAAAACAAATATGCAAATTCAAATCAAAATAAAATGATAAAATATCCATCTATTATGTTAATATACCAAACAATTTTATCTTCCTTGTAAAACATTTTATTTATTTATTTATTATTATTTTTTTTATTTTTTGTAAAGATTCACATAACAGTGGTCTAGGTCCAAGCCAAACTTTGTTTATTTTCTTTAAGAGGCTATTGGAGATTACTGCAGCAGTTTAGAGAATATTAATAATTTTAAAAAAGCCAAAGAAGCCTTGTAATTTGTTTCAGGAAAATATGATTTGTAATTTTTAAGTTTTGTATATAGTTGCATATATTGTATAATTTTGTATTTTCTTGGTTTGTTTTCAAAAATAAAAAGTCATATGTGTGATTGAAAATTTTAATATTTTTATTTTAATTTAGAAAAATAATCTTGCCCTACACTGAATAGAGTTGCCTTCTGTATTACTATCATTCTATTAGTACAATTACTCCTGCACTGAAAAAAAAGGGTTCATTGCAAATTGTTGCAAACCATTTATATAAGCTGAATTAAAACAAACAACTTAAGTACTAAATAGTGCTAATTTTAATATGTTTAAGTTTAAACCATATAAGAAACGCAGTTGCGCAGTAGGTAGTGTTGTCGCCTCAGAGCAAGAAGGTCGCTGATTCGAGTCTTGGCTGGGTCAATTGGCTTTTCTGTGTGGAGTTTGCATGTTCTCCCTGCATTCAAGTGGGTTTTCTCTGGGTGCTCCGGTTTCCTCCACAAGTCCAAAGACATACGGTACAGGTAAATTAGGTAGGCTAAATTGTCCATAATGTATGTGTTTGAATGAGTGTGTATGGATGTTTCCCAGAGATGGTTGCGCCTGGAAGGGTATACGCTGCAAAAAACATATGCTGGATAAGTTGGCGGTTCATTCCGCCGTGACCCCAGATTAAAGGGACTAAGCATGAAAAAAAATAAAAAGAATGAACCCAAATAAATCATGCACAATCACTTACCTTAAAAAAAATTATTTATCCAATAAGTCATCAGTGTACTACTACTAATACAACTACTACTATGACTAATAATAATAATAATAATAAACAGCTTCCTTAGCTGATTTTTTACATTTTTAATTACATTTACATGTAATTTTTAAAATTAAGTAACAATCAGATACATTGCTTTTAGCATAAATTGTCATTGGATAACCAATAGGTGCTCTACTGGATAGAGATCTGGTGATTGTGGAGGTCATGTGAGTATAGTGAACTTACTCTCATATTCAAAACACCAGTTTGAGATGATTTGAGTTTTGTGACAGCTAGATGTATCCATCATAGAATCAGGGTACATCAATCACACAAAGGCAAGGTTGTGCTGAGCAAAAAAAAACTCAGATGATCTGTGGCATTGAAATTATGTCTTGCAAAGAATATATCCACAACATAATAACACCACACAAGGCAATCGAATTGCAATCATTTTCCCCTTCTTAGCTGTCAGGAGTGTCACTGGTGTGGCTCTTCTACTCCTGAAGCTCATCTGCTTCAAGGATTAACATGTTCTGCTTTCAGAGATGCTCTTTTGTATATGTCATGGGTCTCAAACTGGATTCCTGGAGGGCCGCAGCTCTGCACAGTTTTGCTCCACCCTAATTAAACACAGCTGATCTAACTAATCAAGGATGTTCAAGACTACTAAGCAGGTGTGAGTTGGAGGTTGTTAGAGCTAAACTGTGTAGAGCTGCGGCCCTCCAAAAATTGAGTGTAAGACCATTGGTATATAAGGTACTTTTGCCTTTCTGTCCTGGCAATCTCTTCTGACATCAACAAGGTTTTTCAGAATGTATATCACAAATGCAGACATGTCCACATTCAAGCGTTTCATACAGTGGGCTTCAAGGCTTAGTTCACCCAAAAAAATAACAATTCTGTCATAATTTGCTCACACTTCATTTATTTAAAACCAATGGTGGAAATCTGTAACCATTGACTTTCATTGTAGTTGTTTTTCTTTCTATGGAAGTCAATGGTAACCAGTTTTCAGCTTTCTTCAGAATATTTTCTGCTGTAAATCTTTAGTTTTGAGAGAACTATCCCTTCAAGTTGGCCTTTCATCACACTTTTAGTACATGAACAACTGATTTAATGACCTAAAATTATTATTATTTTTTTTAAAACAATAAATCCTTAAACTTAGCATTAATAAATAGCACATTTACACACATGTACTTCAACTCAAAAATCTCCCTGTTCTTGGCTCTTCCTTATTTTGAGTCGGACTTGTGATTTTGTTAATTTTTAACCTGGAGACTTGTTCAGACTGAATCATCTGAATCAGTTAGTCTAGACTTGCCTTGACGAGAGCAGAGGCAATCGGATCAGTTCAGTTGAATTGTTGTTTGTGAAAGAATAGAACTGGTTAGCTAAAAGAACCAGCTTTTTCATGAATCAAATAGAGTTAATGTGTCTCTGAGGAGTGCTAGTTAAACAAATAACAAAGTAATTATCTTTATTCTGAATCATTGTGAAGTAAAATGTAGTATATAATGCTTCAGAAATTATAAACATTGTCAGCACAATAGCCTAGTGTTTAGCACACTGACATATGGTGCAGTAGCACTTCAAGCTGTCCTGAGTTCAAATCCTGGCTTGAGGACATTTCCTGTTTCTACCCTTTCTCTCTCTACCACTTTGTTTTCAGTCTGAAATACTGTCCTATCCACTTAATAAAGGCAAAAAGCTTAAAAAACTAATCTTCAATATAAATAAATTATACACGTAAAAAACAAAACTCAAAAGAAAAATACTGACTGTGAATTTAAACAACTTTGTCATATATTTTGTGTACTATATCATAGGGAACTATAGCTCACAAATTCTCTTAAAAATTATATTATTTTGAAAATTTGAACTAATATGCAGATGCTACAACAAAAAAGAAAGGTAAAAAAAGGAGAGCAAAAAAAGCTGCATAACAGGTTGTTTTTGTATTGTTTATTGTTCTTTATCACAGGCAATAATAATAGTGCACTTTCATTTTTTTGTAATTATAACACAGACATTTATTTTCTCGTCATTATTTTTTTCCCTCCAATTTAATGACTTGCATTTCTTATGAAAAAAGTTCCTACTGTGCGCAATGGGAAAGAAAGAGTACAGCTTTACAATCTTAAGAGGAGTAATCAGTAATGACGACAAAGATAATCAATAATCATCAGGTGAATATAGAATGGATAAAGAATGAAGATATGAGTAATATTTTCTGTTTACAATGAACAGAGATGAAGGGGGAGGGGGTGAGCATACACTGGGGACAGGCAGGGCGTATGTATATAATGAGAGACGAGGGAAGGAGATTGGTCTAAAGTATAATTCTATGATCGGGAGCGGGACGAGGTATATAATGTATGGTAAATAAGTGAAGACTAACGATACATATGAAATGTGATACGTGTGCTGTATGTGGAGGCGAGTAACTAAAACAGAATCTCATTCAGTGCATAATGTGAAAGGGAGGGGGAAGGGGGACGGGGACACACAGAGCGGGAGAGCGTCATGATCAGAGAAAGTGTGTGGAGTGTATTTCACATTCACTCAGAGCTGGACAGACAGTCTGTATTTGCACACTCCCAGACTTACCCTGCCTGAGAACTAACAGAACTGAACACGCAAACATCGTCAGGGTTTTGCTCTGGCGTTTCCTCTGCCTCATGACCGGGCATATTTGAGAGCGCACGTGCTTGACCGTTTGGTAGATGTGGATTTAAGGCATTCATAGTGTACTAAAACAAGGACGTACTCCTTATTATATCTGCTCCTAAACATTCAACAGTAGTGAAGAAAAGTCAATGTGCTATTCGAAATCAATTTAGGAAGACGCAGGAGCTGCTGGATGACAAAACAGTCCTCGTTGTCGTTTCCGCTATGCTATTTTTGGGTAGAAGTTAACGTGATGGCTGCAGGATGGTGGCAGAGGGAGGACCAGAGCAAAACCTTGCTTTGCATTTAGTGCTCTTTGCGTCAGGAAAAGAGTGGACTGGAGGGTGAAAGAGAGAGAGGCAGGGGGGCGCTTTACGGTCAGATTCTGGGCTTCAGGGCCAAGACTCATTGGAGAAAGAGCTTTTAAGTGGATGTTCAGGATCAGGTTCCTTCCATTCACAACCGTAATGCAGTAAAAAGCCCTGCTGATCCTGAGTCTGCACTTAAGAGAGCACTTCACCCATTCCCGTGGGTGGGCGAGAAAAGGGACAACTATTTGTTTGAATACAATTCTCTTTTTAGGACAGTGCATTCCAGTTTCAAAGTCCAGTTATCATTCATTTTGTTTCATATTGTCAGTTTTGAGTCTTCTTGTGTGTGTGCGTGTGTGTGCATGTGTGTGAAAAAGACAGAATACTGCTCGCGTTTCGTACGAGGGGCTGGCCTGGTACATACGAGTCCGAAACTTTGGGCTTTTGTCTGGGTAACATTCTCAAAGATGGAGAGCGAACATGGAGGGCTTCATTCTCGTTCCCCGTTTGTTCCTCGTCTTCCATAAGGTTCACTTCAGTCTTTAGGTTTACGTGCATCCTGGAGGGCTTTAAAATGTTCTCCCTGTGGGAGACATCCAAGGCATGGAGTCATTGCTTGGTTGATTTTTCATTACTCTCCAGTTTTTCTCCTTTGTGAGTTGGCTTCTGTTTTTATGTGATATGAAATGAAAATGAGACAGGAAACTACTGAAATGTCTTTTAGAGGACTTTTGCAGCATTGTTAGAAGATATTTGGGAACAAACAGAAATGGGTCGTTTTTTTAAACGATTTTCTAAATTGTAACCTGTGCGATTTTTATTTTACCAGCCTGAACATTTAGCAAACAATCCATCAAATAAATAAATAAATAAATAAATAAATAAATAAATAAATAAATAAATAAATAAATAACGTGTTTTTAAATCAATAAATAGTTCAACATTTCTATTTTTGTTTTTTTTCACATTCACTTTTTTTCCATTTACTCAATGGAAACAAGTTATTTCAGAATATAACAAAAATATAATCTAAACAAGAAATGGAAAAACAAATGATGGTTAAGATGGCGAAGGCATATTTTTTCTTGTCTAATTGTAGGACACAAGAGCACGACAGGCTATTTCATTCCTCTTGTTCGGTCTGTGTTTGAACATGTCATAGGAAATCTCTAAGCCTCTGTGCCTGTTTAGTGAGTGGGGTGGATCTGGTATAGTCTGAGAACTGCCATGACTTACAACAGCCCAGTTTTGACAACATTCTCCAAGTGTAGCTTCCGGTGGCCATCTTTCCACTGCATATCTTTCAGTGACCAATTTTTAGGATCTACAACAACACAGGCTATATCTTCAACACTTAACACACATCCTCAGATCATGAGGGTATAGTCATGTAAGACTATAATTGCATTTTGTGATACAAAATTTAATAATAAAAAAAAGTTTTAGAAATCCTTTTTTTGTGCTCCAAGTGGTGTTAAGAATGAAGAAGGTCCTGCTTTTTGCCATTCTGTTTGCTTTTCTCTACCTTAAGCAGCTTATTCTGATTTTTCTGATGATCATTGCTTATAATGACGATGATGGAGATGAAGATGATGATGATAAGTTTGAGAGACATTCTTTTCTGTCCCATGGTTTGTCTAGTTTGTTGCCATTAGATCACTTGAGCATTGATCCTTCTTTGTAGTGAACCGAATAATTTGTTGCTGGGGTGTATATTTCACGTTTGTAAATGCTTAGAATCGGAAAAGCGATATTATAATTTTTTCTTCTGACGATGACTTGCATGTAAGAACACTTCCGTGTAGACAGACTCCTGACTTGTTACAGTTGGATCCCAGGGTGTGATGTGAAATTCAGGGCTAAGTTTACCTGTCGTTGTGTGTTGTGCAGATGGACCATGAGCGACTCGTGTCAACCCCTTTACAGCTTGTCTGATTAGTTCACTTAGGGTTGAGACTGGGTCCCATTTGAGGAAAGGAGGCGAGTTTTATCTTTGCCAGATCCCTTCCTTTGTAGTACACTCACGCTACCACCAATACTGCTCCCTTCTCCTCGATCGGCGCGCTCTGCCCGCTCCCCGCGATCACCTCCGCCCTCCGAGCGACGAGAGTTCTGACGGGTCGGTGTGCTGGGTGGACGGGACGAAAGCCCATTCTTCTCATCTGCAAGGAGAAAATAACAGGAACCATCAGAGTGTGATTTGTGCTTAAAAACATTTTTTTATGTCAATTTAAAAATCAGGGTACACTATCTGGTCACAATTTAGTTTTGGATTTATACTTTAATAAACATCAGGGATTTTATTCTTAAAGGTGCTGTGTGTAAGTTTTTGACTTTTCTAAAGAATAAAATACCATAATATGTTTGCAGATATTTAGGAAACATGCTAAGTGAACATTCTTGTTTATCTGAAAAACAATGCTGAAGTCAGATATTTTGCTGTGAAAATATCTGTTATGTGACAGCACGTCTGTCTTTGGTTTGTTTTTTATAACCCACCCACTGCCAGTTTAGCCAATCATATTTCAGCACCCCAGATTGCCTTGGTGAAAACTACGAATTATTCAGTCATTCATTCAATCAGAAAGGCTCTCATAGCATGCACCCGTGAACGAAATGCGGCCTCAGTAGTACAGTAGCAGACTTCGATATGAGATGCAGATTCAGAGTTCCACATATGGAATTAAATAATCAGTAAATAATATAAATATTACGAGCGAAAACATTAGGTGAGCAGGTTACATTGGTTACATCTAAGTAATACATATTAAACCTCTTTAACATTAAATATATTAAATGTAGATGCTGAATAACTAATATGTGTTGGCCTGCACTGAGTTCTAAAGTTCAATTTTCAAGATCTGAGGTGAACTATCTGCTTCTGTTTTCAGTGGTAAGGCATGTAAAATGCATTCAAAATCACATTATTAGCATTTAACACTGAATAAAGAACGTGAGGTGTACTTGAGGTGAGCATTGTCAGTTTTCTGTTGTTCAACTGCAAGCTGTTTCTAATATTTCAATTTGAGTTGTTGGTTAGGACAAAAACTCCTTTTAATATGTAAAACATTCCTTCTATTGCGTGATGTAGCTTTTATTTAGAACACGAAATCAGCCTTTAGACTCGATAGTCAGGTTCGCTTCTGCTGATCGTCAATCTGGCAACCTGCGCTTGCGTTTGTTTTGATCTAGGAGTCCAATATCCAGTTCAACCACTGGGTGTAAAACTTATATACAGCACCTTAAAACTAAGCTAAAATCCCTTTTGTTATTCAAAAACATTAACTGATTAATGAAGAAAAATATTTCTTATGTTTAGTTTTAACTAACTTTTGATGTCTAATGTTTCATTAAGTTTAACTTGGTTTAAATATACTAAAATAACTACAACTAAACTAATATATAGATGTATGAATAAATATTTAAATCAAACTAAAATAAACAGTTTAACAAAAGGTCACATAACAGAAAATATTTTTTAAATGTAATTCATCTATTAATAAAAACTACACTGGTATCTCAATGATACTAAAATACTAACAATATGAAATGTGAAACCCCATTTTATAATTAAACCTCAAATGAAAGAAAAGTTTAATGTTGTGAGAGTACTTCATTGACAATGTAGTAATTAAATAATAGACAAGGAACAGCTCATCCTATTCAATGCAGTAAATAAACATGAGCAAATCAGGTCACAAAAAAGCTGGGTCAGTGGTGAATAAATGCAAGTAATCTTCTAACACAGTAGCAAAATGGGTTAAGGCATCATTTTGCGTGATTTAATAAAATGGGCAAATTTCAGTAAACTAACCACCACAAACCTTAGCAAATCTCATAACATGATTCATTAAAATACTTTTTCACAAAACCTAAAAATGCATATGCAACAGTGTCAGTCACAAAAATAATGTCATGGTTTGGCATGTTTCACTGCATGTCTTTGTTTTTTAGTGCCAAATAGGGTTTGCACTGGCACAAGCTTTTTCTAAAGGGATAGTTCACCACAAAATGAAATTGTACTTACCCCTCACTTGTTCCAAACCTTTGAGTTTCTTTATCTGTTAAACATTAAAGACGATATCTTGAAGGAAGAAAAACCTGTAACCATTAACTTCCATAATAGAAAAACCAAATACTTTGAAAGTCAATGGTTACCGTTTTCCAGCTTTCTTCAAATATCTTCTATTATGTTCGACATAAAACTGAAAATCTGAGAGGTTTAAAACAAAAAAGGGGGTAAAGTGACTGAGGACTGAATGTTCAGTCTTGGGTAAACTATCCCTTTAAGTTTAACTTATCATGCAGGAGTACATGTTTGAGTGTAAGTGTAGTGTTCAACATTTACCTGCCAGTGCCTGCACAGACGGCTGGTCATGTGTGCTGAGAAGCTGAGCTTGAATGGTCTCTACCACTCTTTTAAACCTGCGACTAGGACCTGCAAAACAACATGATCACATTAACAGAAAATATACCTTGAGCGGACATGTAAAACAGGTTCATCTTTTAAAATACCTGATAATAGAGTAAAGGTGACGCTGTAGATGCCTGTCTCCCTCCTTCCCTCCCTCTCTCTGTCTTTGTCCCTCTCACGTTCTCTTTCTCCCTCAGAGAAGGCGATGTCAACCTGAAATTTGACTGGCTTCTGGAAGACAGACGGACCTCCGGAGGACTTGTACTCCGCCCGGAAACTTGTCTGAGAGATGACACTGTGACTCAGGGAGGGGATCTAGAGGAGAACAGAGACGCACATCAAAGTTTCAATCTTCAAACAAGTAGGAACAAAGAAGAGGAAGATGAAGGGGAAGAGGAAGTGAAATACTACTAACGGATAGAAAAGCATGGACGATGTCAGCCTTGATGGAGCTTAGAGGTTTGTCTCTTATCACCACAAAAATCTGCTCTTCCCTCTCCAGACTGATGAAATTTCCGAACCACGACTTCTTTGCCAACCTAAAAAAGTGAACACAGATGCAAATATATGCTAACAAACACACATAAACATTTATTAAATACTCATAAACACATATAGTATGTATTATTGTTATCGTTTCATGGCTGCTAATGTGCAAAGGACACATATTAGAGATGTTTAAATAATTGATTATATAAGAGGTTTATCAGTAGAAAGAAATACAGAAATTAATCCTGTAAGAGTGCAAATAATACAGCAAATGTGAAGCTCATCTGTCTTTATTTTTGAGTACACTTTCAGAGAAAAGTAGACAAATATGCTTAAAAGCAAACTATTTTTCTATCTATAAACTAACAAATGAAATTGAGGCCCAATTCCAATTCTACCCCTTAGCCTTTCCCCTTACCCCTAATTAGGCGGTTTTGAATTTGATTGTGCGGGTAAAAAATGGCATAGTCGGGTTAACAAAATTTGGGCGGTTTTGAAATGTAAATTTTAAATGCAGGTTATTTAACAAAATACAACAGTGTGCTCCTACTCTCTTCAGCTAGTAGTGACTATTGCATTGCACAAACAGCGTGCGCCCACCCACGAGAGGAGATGAAGGAAAGTTCTGACTGCCTGGACAAATCTGACTCCCCTTCGCGTGCACGTGCATCACACAGCCCCTGCAGTTAAAATTACAGCGATTTATCACAACACTTTTACCTATTTTTTTTTCTAGGATTGAAAGCAAGAATAAACATAGAAGCGTTGTCTGACAAGCCGCACCTAATTATGCGCAAAAGAATTTAAAATGACAAATGGGACAAATTTACACCCCATTTTGAAAGTAAAACATACTTTAATAGGTAGTGTAATCTACACAACATGAGTGCAGTGTGTGAGTGAGAGAGAGAGTGATCCAGTTATGTTGTGGTTCTCTAACTGCCGGTGTTTTTTTGCTGTATGGTTAAAAATTATTACAGTTAAAGTAACTAGGTTAATTTTGATTTTAAAACATTAAATAAATTAAATATTAATTTAATATTTTTGGCATTTTTTGTGACTTTGGGCGGGTTTTAGACAGCTTTTGAGCTGAAATGCAGATTTGTGCTTTTGCGCATCTCTGTTTACGCATATCCGCCATTAGCGTGTGCACTCCTGCATGAGCGCCGCGAGTCGGGCAAAATCAAATGCTGAATTGAAACTTTTAAAAATCTTGAATCAATAATGGAGTTACTTTTGCACGCTGAAGGAAGGACGACACCATGGCTGAAGTATTTCTGTTAGACAGATAATGTTCTGTTTTAAACTTTAGCTTCACGCAGAACTGATGCAGATGTTCTTGTTACAAATGAGCTATATGCACAGGCGTGTTGTTCAGCCACTGAAATCTTCGGGCGAAAGATTAATGTGACTATTTTCAGTTTCATAAGGGCCTTTTAAAGCATTGATAATGTAGATTTATATTAAGATTAACAACAAAACATCAGTAAATAACGCTATTCTGCCTAACCTGCTTTACTGAGCTAAAGTTGCTGTTATATTCACATTGGGTTATTTCTAAACAATGACAGCCAGTGACCCGCTCCCCATATTGTTTACCATGCTAATCTGAATATTCGCTCTGAAATAGCATGTAATTGTGGCTTAGTAATAAGTGAAATTCTTGCACACCGACGGGCCAAACACTACATACACTTCTAACTGGCGAATGACATGAACTAGTGGGTTGTCTGCTGTCGTGTCGCGATGCGCGCGTTCACGATTTCAGGAGGCGTGGCTTTGAAACACAGTCCCTCCCCTGCCATCCAAAGCTAATATGCTAACCTTTTAGCAATATGGCAGATCACCTACCGCACCTTTAAACATCACAAGCTTTATAATTAGGTTATTTATAATAAATTCTGTATTCTACTGAATTCTGAATTTTACAAAATTCAATACTGAATATGAAGTATAAAAATAAAAGCTGTTTGCCAAGTATTACATTTAACAGTACATATACAGTATATACAGTTTAAGTCAGAATTATTAGCCCCTCTTTAATTTTTTTTCTTTTTTAAATATTTCCCAAATGATTTAACAGAGCAAGGAAATTTTCACAGTATGTCTGATAATATTTTTTTCTTCTGGAGAAAGCCCTATTTGTTTTATTTCAGCTATAATAAAAGCAGTTTTAAATTAAAAAACCTCTTTAAGGACAACATTATTAGCCTCTTTCAGCTATATTTTTATTTGATAGTCTATAGAACAAACCATCGTTACACAATAACTTGCCTAATTACCCTAACCTGCCTAGTTAAACTAATTACCCCAGTTAAGCCTTTAAATGTCACTTTAAGCTGTATAGAAGTGTCTTGAAAAATATATAGTCAAATATTATTTACTCTTATCATGGCAAAGATAAAACAAATCAGTTATTAGAAATGAGTTTTTAAAACTATTATGTTTAGAAATGTGTTGAAAAAATCTGCTGTCCTTAAAACAGAAATTAGGGGAAAAAATAAGCAAAAAAGACTAAATACTTACTCTGGGCTGGACTCTGGAGTTAAACTGGACATGTCTTCTGACGTAGGAACTATCGAAACAAGAAAAAGATAAATAGTAGTAATAAATCAACATTTTTGCAATGATATTTGACTCAATAATAGCAATAATCCGCTTGTTAAGCCTGACATCACTTTTTCCAGGCTTAAACAGTTGCAGTAAAGTAAATATTTTTAAAAGATTAGCATCAAATGCATCAAATGTTGAGATAGTTCTTCACACGAGTACACGCTTGCACCCAGAACAAGTTTCCTTTATGTCAAGACTTTACAAGCAGACAGGAAGTGGACAGATGCATTTCTCACCCTGTAGCCTCCGGCGGTGGAAGCGTGGCGAGCCCAGCAGGTTGTTCTTGAAGGAGTTGAGGCGCGTCCTCCAGTGGGCTGAACTACTGGCAGCCATTCCACCACTTCCCCCAGGACTAGAGGGTGGGGTGAGGGACAGGGAACCACCACCCACACCACCACCACCACCTCCTTCAGCCCGCGAGGAGGACGAGGAGGAGGAGGAGGAGGGCGGGGTGGGAGGGGGGTGCTGGGGGTGGTGCACAGGGGTCCCCAGAGGGGTGGGGAGTGGGGAGCCCTGCGGGGTAACCTGCGACACATGGGCAGAGTTAGGATAGATGGTCTTAGTGACAGACTTCAGGACAGAAGGAGCAGGGAAGAAGAAGCGAGGGATGGGGGACAGGAGCGGAGAAGGGGAGGGCGAGGGGGACGGGGGAGTCTGCAGGGGGAGGGACTTCATAGACTGTAGGTGGGGGCGGTCAGAAGCTGCTTTTGTGGGCAGGGTCTGGGTTTTTTGCTCAGGCGCACGCTGGGACGCCCGGGGTGTGGTGGAACTTCCAGCTTTGGGGTCTTTGGACTGGGTGGCGGAAGCAGAGGTGACTTCAGTTTGGCTGAAAGTGAAAACTGGGCTCTGACAGGTAGGAAGAGAAAGGACAGAGGGATGGAGAGGGAAAGAGGAATGGAGAGATGGACACAGCAATGGTCATGAGCGTTAATGAGAGCTATGGTATATGATCATTAACATTAGCATTGAAACTGTGAAGAGTTAGCAAAATGATTCTCTTTGAGAAGCACGTGAAAGTAGAAATTAGTAGACAGTTGTTAGCTCATTCACTAGAGTGCAGAATGCAAGTTAAAACTAGGTAAATATACCTGTGAGTGTGTGTGCACGTGTGTGTGTGTGTGTGTGTGTGTGTTTATTGTGAATAATGGCTCCAGTATGAGGACAGTATGAGATAGATGAACATAAAAAGAGGAGCTGAATGCATTTCAGCTTTGCTATTGATACCACAATAACAAAAACAAGCACAATACGTTTCACCATTGTTCACTGAGCACAACATAGTAGTGTTTTACATTGTATACAACATAGATATGGTCAAAAACATGTGGGTTACTTACTCGAGGGCTGCTGAGGGGGCTGGATGAGAGGCCAGTTGATGCTCCACTAACAGACCGAGACCTATGAGAAGAGCGACACGTGTCAGTAAAACCGTCCTGATGTACTACAAGGCAGATCAAAGAGCAAACCGCTGTGACATCATTTGCAAAAAAAAGAGGCGAAATTAATTAAAAAAATTTTTTTTTATATTTTATTCAAACTTTTTTATTTTTTAAATACAAAATCAATACAAAGGAAATCCACTGCTATAAAGCTGAGCTTATTTTGGTTCCAAAGAGCGTATCCTATCAAGCTAAATAACTTGATACAATTAGTTTAATCCAATATGCTCACAGCTCACAGTTCTTTTTCATTCTTCATTATGGGTAAAAGAAGTTTAGACCTGAGCAGCAGTTAAGAAATCATCTGATCATAGCGATATGCATATTAGATCTGCATTTCAGCAGTCAAGTCACCCAATGTTAAAAAATACAGCTCTTTTTATAATAGACTGAAAAAGGTAATCCTTAGCTATTTAATCACCATCAACCTAAAGTAGTATTAAAGTGATGACCAGCTAAAGCAAACTGGTCTAGAATGTTTTGGCATGCTTTTTGAAATCCCTGATTTCCCAATTCTTTAAGACCTTCACCCCTTAAATGATCAACAAAAACACTTGGACTTTGTTGTGAGCATAGATATACTTTTTAAGAATAATTTGCCTCCACTGTTAGCACTATTTTTTTGTATTATGAAGATGTGTCCAGCAAAAAAATTCTTTTTCATTCATTTGATCAATCTTTGATGAATTAAAGGCACTTTACATGCCATGCAATGACCACAGGTTGCTAGACATGCTGCCTAATAAAAGCAGCATCAACCAAGACAAATAATTATACTGTAAACAATAAACACAAATACTCTTAGAGACCAAAACTATAAGTTAAAAAATGATTAAAACATTTTAATCTATAACATTGTTACATATTAATTTCTTGTGTATTGTCTAGAATTCTGAGTATTTCACTTGTAAAGACAACTTTGCTTGATCATTCATGTGCACAGAACTCTGATACAGAATTATGATATTTCTGACTTGAAAGGCACATGAGATGCTGCCGGAGACAGGATGTCGGCAGCCACGCGTCACTGACTATCATTCAGAGGTTAATTTATTCACAACCAACAAAAATAAAAATATGTAAGATATAAGAAAAGATAAAAGATAGATAAAAGACCAAGAAGAACTTTGTCAACTAACATGTACCATGAAAAATGCCCATTGCAGTTGCCAAGAACTCTGCCACTGACTGGAACGAAGTGCACAAGGGCTCTTAACTTATTGTTTACAATTTACAAAGTCAAAGATGTAGAAGGTGAATAGTGTTTAAGAATAAAGTACTCTATGTTCTGAGTCTAACATACACAGAAATGAGGCTTGTTCAGTTTGAATATATAATAAAAGTAGAATTAAATACAAACTTTTACTATTTCAGCAAATTTACATTGGATTGTTCTTGCTTATTGAATAAATAAACACAAATGTACAGTAAAATCAACACATAAATTTACACTAAAATATCATCTGATAAAAAATCTGCACCTGAAGACCTGTTCACACCAAGGATGTTTACTAAAAAATAGTTTATTGATAACAATATGAGCATTCAAACAACACACAATAATGTTCTGTTTATTTTATGCACATGATGCAGTTTTGTTGTCTGCTTACTTTAAATACTTGGGCTCTTTAAGAGAAGTATGGATCCTGATTGGCTGTCAGTGTTTTTTTATCATTTATCATCATAACTTTCGAAAGTGTCTCCGATGAAATTGTACTATTGCTTCTATGTCATTATCATTACAGCTGCAAACTCTACAAAGCTCAACTTTATGTAAAACTATGTACAGTTGAAGTCAACATTATTAGCCGTCCTGTCAAGTTTGAATTATTTTTCACATTTTTCTCAAGTGCTGTCTGATGGAAAGTTTTTTAACTTAATCCTTTTAATAACTAATTTCTATTATCTTTGCCATAATAACGGTACATAATATTTTCAACCCCGGCTCATTCTGAAAACGTATCGCTATATTGACCTTATTCTTCAATGTGGAAGTGGGTTTGTTTTTGCTATTGTTTTAGAACTTCTGATTGACGGAAACGGCAGAACACGGCCAAACTACAAACAAATTGTGTTCATGACTACAGACAAAGTAGAATAATATAATAAGAAAAATCTGTTTGCAATATTAAGCAGCCTAACAAGCTGTTTTAAACGTCTAACAATTAATGGAAAGGAATAAGAAATCTCGGCCCAAAGAGATTCAAACGGCTACACCCGCTCAAACACGAAGAATAAGGTCACTACTTCTCAGGAGCTACGTTTTTTGCAGTTTTCTGTTTTCGCGAATTTCAAGAGGATCACATGCTTATGACTGATCACGGCAGGACTCATATTAACTAATACACGATTCTCCAATCAGACGATTCCTAAGTCATCATAACCATAGTCTTCATACTACAGTTTTCTTCGTCTTGAAGAATCCCCCATCCTCCCCTATTCCTCCCACTTTTTTTTCTTAGATTGGGCGGCACAGTGGTTAGTGGTTAGCACTGTTGCCTCACAGCAAGAACATTGCTGCTCAAGGATCTTTTGAGCTCAGGGCTCTCTCCCAGGACACCATGCCAAACAAGCTTATAATCAATCATCAGCTAAGTGTGAAATGTGAGCTAAAAATATTTTTAAAATATTTTTAAATGTTATTAAAAACTGCTTTCATTCCATCCAAACTAGACTTTCAATAGACAAAAAATACAGGAAATACTGTAAAAATGTCTATTCTCTGGTCAACATCACAATATTGGAAAAATATCAATAACAATTTCACAGGAGGGCTAAAAATTTTGGCCCTCGACTGTATATCCGTCATATTCTCATCCTCTGTGTGAACTAGTCTTTTATTTATCTGCACATTTTTTGGAAAGCACATGAACATAAGACACGTGTGGTCCACCAAGCTTGACTTTCAGATGAAGGTTAAGACAGAGCGATCAAAAAGAGTTTGCGTGTACCTCTGGCTGTGTGCAGAGGTATCCAGTGCTCTGCGGGGGGGTGTTGGAGAGCCCTGCTCTGTCACACTCAGTACCTCCAGACTCTTTCTCTCCGGCCGACAGCGCCCATGACGAGTCAACATGGGCGAGTCCACCCGCTTACGGGGAGGATCTGATCACATAATCACAACAACAAACACACACCCACTGTAACACAGACATCAACACTTCATCCATCACACACAAACCTTACTGTATCCAAGCTGGAATAAGGTTTGGTTTTATATATATATCACAATATATAAAATACACAGCTGCAATGCAGGAGGAATTATCTGTATTACAGTGTTTAGAGGGAAATTAGCATAGAAGCTGAAAAAGAAGTCCTTTTCAATGAGAGACAGAGAGCTTCTAAGCAAATAGGGTAAACATTACCTGCAAACAACATTTGCTGGATGACAGATGAAACAGGGCATGACATTGAAATGATGGACAGGAAGGTATCAGGGCTGCATGATTTGGTCTAATAAATCAGAGATATCTAGATCTTTTTAGATTTGCTTACACCTGGTATTAAGTTGAGGGCTGCTCAATATATCATTGATACTGTGTGAATCTGCAATAGTCACATCACAGAATCTATCATTTGCGATTATTATTAATAGGAACCACAGTTCAGAAGACATGTGATCTATGGAGTCATTGCAAAGTTTAACTTTAATATAATTAGAGTAAAAGATTTTTATTTTTATGTTTTTAAATATTTTAAAGACATTTTAAATTTTATAGCTTGCAGCTTTAACAGAATTATTGTATATATATATATATATATATATATATCTTGAAGACTTTAAGGTATTATATTACATTTGATTATTGAATTTAGAATTTGTGTTAATCAGTACTGCTAGACTCCAACAAAAACTATGAAGCGTTGCTGTTGTTTTTTTATTTTATTTTTTGATCTGTGTCACTTTTTTGGTATAATTTTGTATATTTTATGAACATGATCCTAATTGATTTTAAAATTATGATTTTTTTCCAAATAGAGTCATCTTGTGAAATTATGTTCATATTGCAATATACATTGTAGAAAAACAGAATATTGCAATATCAGTTTTTTCCAGTATCATGCAGCCCTAATTAAGATGATCTAATCTAACTACACCAACATTCTACCACTGATCTGCTGATTTCCTTATATGCTAATTATGTTCCATAATCTGAAATATAGTTATGGCTTTTTATTTATATTTTTCTGTTCATCTATGTAAAGTGGTTTTGATACAATCTACACTGTAAAAGCCCTATAAAAAAGATGATTGACAAGTAAACAGCAACATTCATAGACATACACCAGCATAGGCCAATATCACAGGTGTCAAACTTACTTCCTGGAGGGCCGCAGCTCTGCACAGTTTAGCTTTAACCCTAATTAAACCCACATGATCAAACTAATTGAGTCATTCAGGCTTGTTTTAAACCTCCAGGTTAGTGTGTTGAACCAGGGTTGGAACTAAACTGTACAGGGCTGCGGCCCTCCAGAAGTTTAACACCCCTGGCCTAGTCTCTTGTCAGAAAAAGTGGACAAAAAGAGTGCCAATAATACTGTGTCTCCCTCATCTATTTGTGATCCAACAACACGCATCTTGGTCACACTTTAGAATAAGGTTTCATTAGTTAATGTATTTACTAACATGAACAAAGTATGAACAATATTTGTACAGCATTTATTAAATATAGTTCAACATTCACTAATGCATTATTAAAATTCAAATGCATGCTTGTTGACAGTAGTAATGGACTGTGAGTTAACATTAGCTAACACTGAACATCAACTAATGTTAACAAGCATGAATAAACACTGTAATACATGTATTGCTCATTTTTCTTCATGTTACTAAATAACTTATCTAACATTAACCAGTAAAACCTTATTCTAAAGTGTTGACCTTATTACCAGATGTAAACATGACTAAAAACCTACAAAATAACAAGCATTGAATTTTGAAATTCACATTTGGCCCACATATATGTGAGCTTGGACCACAAAACCAATCATAAGCATTGATTTTTCAAAACTGGGATTTATACATCTTCTAAAAACTGATAATAAAGTTTTAATTGGTATTAGGTTTGTTAAAATCTGTTAACATTTGGACGAGATACTGTACAACTATTTAAAAATCTGAAATGTGAGATTGCAAAAATCTAAATATTGACAAAATTCCCTTCATAATTGATCATTTTGTAAAACATATTACAAAACAAAAGCTATGTTTTGATATATTTACAATAGAAAATTGTAACTCATACAATTGACCCATTGATCATTTTGACCCATGCAATATACAGTTTTTCAGGGTCATTTATATCAAAATGACCAAACTAGACTTCTTTTAGTGTTCACTATTAATGTATGCATAGTTCTTATTATTAATATTATATAATTTTTTTTATTTTATAAAGTAATAATAAGTTGCAATAAAACATTTACCACCTATTGTTTTTACTTTTTTTCTGTTCTTCCACCAAAGGTTTTATTTTGGTGGAAAAACCTGCTTATAATATTTCCATCAACATGAGTGTAAGCAATGTATCATTTATAATGTATTTCAAAACTATTTTGCAGCCCGGTTGGTGAGAACCATTCTTTTCACATAATATGCATAATAATAAAGAAATGTAATGCGAGTATTGTGAAAAATCATGTGAGTGTCATTACCAGAGTGACAGCTTTTGACTCATATGCTCTATTTACAGTACATAAAAAAGATCCTGATCTTATTCAAAAACCAGCAGCACCTGTTCTCCCCCTCACTACACTGTCCTAGCAAGCACATGCTCCGACTCCGCTCTCAAGCTCCTAACGCTGATGATCCTCCACCTTGAAGTCTGTTTTTAGTCTCCGTCTGGTCTTGATCTGTTTATTTTGGGGAAGGAGCCCTCAATATGTTACATTTACAAATCACTGACGTTTGCCTTAGAGCCCTTTAATGAAACTGGCTTACTTTCAGACCTAAAGCACCGGCAGGCTTTCTAGGTTACCAGCTATTCTCCTGGCATTCAATGAATAGCTTTAAACATGATGGGCAACACGCAGCCCTAAACCACAAAACTCACTCACCAACGTCATTTCTGGGAGGAAGATGCTCATCTTCATAACTAGGGTAGCGCTCCTTTCTGTCCAACAGAAGGTAGTAGATCAGCTTCTCCTGGTTTTCTCTTAAAAACAGATACCAGAAGGCATGAGTGAGCTTCATTGTATCATCAAAATCATTCTTTAAAGCATCTTATTTAAAGTTACACTGACAAAAATAAATCCCACAGGAGTGGAATGAATAAATGACAAGATTTTTTATATTGGGTCACAAATACTGCAGTAAATTATTATTACAACTTAGATTATTATATAAAAACCTGAGAATAATTCATATTTCAGCAATCTTGCTGTGTCTGTCAGCAGTTAAAAACACAAATGCACCACTCGCTTGATGTAATTGGTCAAAAGAGGTATGCAAATCAGTCACATTTCATTCAGACAGTTCACACTCGCACACTCATCAGACTAATGGGATGTTTTTTAAAACAGAAAATAAAAATAGTGCATGATGAAGTGGATATTTGCCTACAATCTATTTTAGGAAACAAACTTGTGATGGTATTCTACCGTGTCAGCGATGAAGCAGATCTTAAATGCACACGCAGCTTTTGAAACTCTGTACTGCACATAAAGACAATTTATATCTAAATATCCAAAACAGGACTATAAAAAGAGTATCAAAATATGGGGCACTTTTTTTGTACTGATGAACTGCTAAAAAACACCACTAGTAAATGAAACAAAACTATGAACTATGATTTTAAGATCAGTGTGTTCTTGTTGTTGCTTGATATCAAGTCTGAGAACTGAGATGTCTCAGACTCACTCTTCACATTGCAGGTCTCTGGTCAGCTTGACTCGGTCTCTGAAGCAGCCCAGGGAATGCATGCTCTCTAGGACATCGGGGTCCAGATCTGTGAGAGACAGAATCCTCTTAACACACACACGCCTCGGTGGCGGCTGCTCTGGACACGGCTCATTCCTGCCCCCTCTGAGAAACACAGACAAGGGGGAAAATAACAGCATAAAGTTTTGAAAAAAGAAAGATTAAATAAATAACGACTGAATGGTGAATTTTCTATTATGAATAGTTTTACTTACTGATACCAGGGGTGCTTTTGTATTTCTTCCAACTGGGAAATGAAAATAGGCACATGAACATTGCATTGCATCAAGAAATGAATATATTTATGCAAATAAAAAGCATTAAATTGATCAAAAGAGATTGTAAAGACTATAAAATCCTATAACAGATTTTAAAAACATGCTCTCCGTTATCTAAACAATGTCAGCATGGTTTCACAAAAACATTAAGCAACATAACCATTTTAAACAATAATAATTAAAAATTGAAAATTAAAAAAAAATGTTTCTTCGGCTGCAAATCAGACATTAAAAATTTAACTTTGACATCGCAGTCAAAAACAGGGATTTTAATATACAGCTGATAGCAAAATGATTGCCTTTTTCATTTTTATTCATTTTCAAGTGATGTTTAACAGAGAAAGGACATTTTCACAGTATTCCTATATTATTTTACTTCTGGAAAAAAGTCTCTTTTTTTGTTGAATAAAAGCAGTTTTACATTTTTAAATATAATTTTAGGGTCAATAATATTAGCCCTTTAAAGATTTTTATTATTAGATTAGTTACAGAACCATTGTTTTTTATCTAATTAACCTAGTCAATGGTGTCTTGCAAAATAACTAGTAAATTATTATGTATATAAATGTGTTGAAAAATTTGTTTTACTTCATTAAACAGCACTTGGGAAATTTTTAAAAAGGAATTAAAATTTTACAGAAGGGCTAATCATTTATATAAATAACTATCTATTAGATATATCATTTTAAACTGTGATAATATTTATTGTTTTTAACTTCCTTTAACTATCTTTAAACTTCTACACACTAGTGTAAATATATAATATCCAATCCTTTTAAATATAACAGGTGTTTTTTCTTGTTTTGTGTTGCATACCGTGAGGCGTTTCTCAGCGTTGACCTCAATCATGCCACGAAGCAGAGCCTGGCAGTCTGGAGGAATGAAGTGAGGCATGTGAAATACTCCACTCTTCACTTTCTCCAGCAGCTGACGCAGGTTATCATGGTCAAAGGGCAACGCTCCCTGTGAAGTGAGATGATACAATTCACAACTTTCTGAGAGCAGACGAGAGCATCCAGCCTGTGATATCTTTACAATCAATGACCATCTTGTGACATAAAACTGTCATTTCCACAGCCGCTTATGTTTTAAAAAGTTGCTATGGAAGAAAGGATATTAAAATGCTGAAAAAGGCTAGGTGATAAAATCATAATGATATAAGGAAGATATAATTATTCCTTGGTAAAACATGATCAGATGTTCAGATGCGAAAACCTCTAAATGCCGCCTGAAATTTCCATAAAAAATTAGCATTATTCTTATCCTCCTTTGTTTATATTAAGTTATTTCACTTTGAAGACCATGAAAGGAACTTATTCTTTGCAATACAAGTGAAATTACTGGATCTACACACCGGAGCTTGATAAAAATGCTCATTTTAGAAGAAAATTTCAGACGGCCTTTAGAGGTTTTTGCATCTGAACTCTTCACATGTTTAATATAAAATTTGTCCTTTAAAGCAGAACAGAACTAAACACCTCACATACTAAGCAGTGGTGATGTGCAAGGTTAGGTTTGTTTACATGCAGAGAGTTCTCACATCAATCATGTGGCTACTTCCAAAAAGAACCACTTGAATTAAGCAAAGCACATAAACGTCTTTGCTATTTATCATGAAGCCATGAAACAGCACTTGTGTTCTGACAACGAAACTGACAAACAGAAACTGGCAAAGAGGATAAACAAGATTATTCCATAAATCTACCATGGATTCACTGTAGTACCCGTAACTGCAATATGATTTTTTGTGGCAGCATTGAGAGATTTGAATTTTATTCTTGAATTAATATAGAACTGTATTCAATGAGTAATGGAAGATAACTACAGTAATTGTTGTTATTAAGCTAAAGCATTTGTGTATTTGTATTTATACTTAATGTATTCCGGCATGTGTTTTTCATACTGTCATAGAATCCACATTGATACATTTCAATATGGTAATGAGTTCATATATATGTGTGATGATACATATGATTTACGACGGTCTAAATCTATATCATGGATTAGGCATGAGATGATAACCGGCTTTTAGCTTTACCGTGGTCTGGACTTGTCAAGGTTTTAAGACCATAAAAAATCCTCTGTTTTACCGTTCCTAAGGTATATGTAAAGTTTTTATGTGTTTTTTAAAATGTGTTGTAAAGAAATCTGTGTTTTTGAAACTAATGAAGCCAGCAGAAGTCAATGATTTATTTGAATTATATAGCCTGACATGTTTACTGCTCCAAAATATTAAAAATGTTTCTCAAAATAAAAATATATTGTGTTAAAAGGGGGAAAATGTTTTTGTTTTTACCCAGACATTTAAAAAGAATATATTTTAGGGCAGTAATCACAACACCGTGATATTTTTCGCCAAAGTTATCAAACTGTCAAAAACGTATACCACCCCTTGCCTATAATGGAGGACAATGTGTCATTTTAACTAAATTAAAATCTGAATTTTTAAATATAGTTCTCCAATTGTAACAAAGTAACAATTTACAAGTACTCATACATTACTGTAATTACAATGCAGTTTTAAAAATATAAATTTTTTTACTTTTAAGTACATTTCAAGGAGCTTTTTCTGCATTTGTTTCCCTTAACCTGTATTCACTATTGTAAATGTTTATTTTCTCTTTTCTTCTGGCTAAGTAGAATAATCAGCCACAGGATTTCCATTCAGTCAAATAGCATGTAGAGATATACTGTAAGAGGTTGTACTGATACTCACTTAGCAACCGGTTTTATATCACATGAAGAAGATGGACCCTTGAATTACTTTAGAAGAGTAGAACCTTTGTTATTTTTATTATTTTCTTTTCTTTTATATTCAAAAGTAAAATATTCTTTACTTAATATTATTTATTTCTATTTTATTTTAATATAATTCTAAATGTATATGTGTGTGACGGGTTTTGTTTGTTTGTTGTTTAAAAAAAAGAAAAAGTGAAAAGCTATTAGCACTGCTTGTATCATATCTAATGTGTTTAATAAAAACACCTCTGAGTAAAAAAATAGCATAGAGAAAAATTTAATCTGCTAACCTCAAGACACAAACATTTTTATAAATGCAGCATTCATGTGGAAGAATTAAAAGTGTCCAAGAAGATGCAAAATCATTGGATACAATGTTTAAAAGATGTCAACTGTATGGTGAATGAAATGACCATTTGGCCTTAGACAATAACTAAATACAACTACAGAACATTACGTTTTCAAATACATGCACAAACTGCATGTATTCCGTCAGTGTTTCACAAACTTGGTTTGCAGTGCTAACTGTTGGACACTCGTAGCTGGTTTGTCAGGTTTTAAAGTGCAAAAAATACTGTGCAAATTGTTCTTTACATTTAAACACCTTAACTTGCTTATTATAGGTGCATATATTAATGCAATGTGTTCTCACATTACATTTATCAAACATTTTAAAGTTATAGTCCATGAATGGCAAATAATTGAACTTACACTTAAAACCACCCTTAAAATAAAACGGCACTGGTGTAAACCACATTTCATTCCTTGAGTAGTCTTTACACAGGTAAAATACTTTTACTCTACTTGCACTACATTTTTTGTCAAGTAATGATACTTTTTCTTAAGTAAGTTTTTCAGTACTCTTCCCAACATGATAATTATCAATACTGACTGATGCAAAAATATTTTTGTAAAAAAATTTGGGCCATATCGCCCAGCCCTGACGGATATAAGATGCAGCAAGCTTCTTACCACCAACAGAGCAAAGAGTATAACCCCACAACTCCATACATCTGCTCGACGTCCATCGTATTTCTCTCCCTGTGATTTAAAAAAAAAAAACACTAAGCGCATACAATCACAGGCTATTTAATAAGAGCTGAATCTCTATCAAAAGCACAAGGTGCTTATGTTATGATAGTTTTGTCCTTACCCTGATAACCTCAGGACATGCATAATGGGGTGATCTGTAGATTCATAACACAGAGTATTAATGCTTCATCCTCATTAACACGATAATAAAACCACAAACACATAAACTACCGACCCGCAACTGGTCTCCAGCAGACTGTCCCCAACCTGTAGGGAGGCCATGCCAAAGTCAGCGATCCTGATATTATTCTTCTCATCCAGAAGGAGGTTTTCAGGTTTAAGATCTCTGTGACTGGTACAGAAAAGATGTAATGATTGCATTGTAGCATCTTTTTGACAATTTCTAATGTTGCACAATCAGAACAAAGCACAAGAATAAATCGGAAATTGTGTAATATGAAATAAATAAACAAATAAATAATTTAAAATCATCACTACTGTTAAAAGTTTTGGAGTTAAGCATTTTTTTTTTTTTTTATGGAACAAATTGAAATCCTCATAGAAAAAAATCCTGAAGAGTTACTGGGGGAATTTACATTTGCGCTTTTAAATAGAATGATAAAAAATGATATTGTAATCGGTGTCAAGGAATTTACCATATGTGGTTCCTTGCATAATAAAGGGTTAGAAAAGTCAATTTTTCTGTTTTTATATATTTTAAAAAGTATTAAAATGTTGTATTATTATTTAAAAATTAACAACAATTTGTTTTAAAAACTAACAATTAATCAAGTCTTTATTGTCACATACTTCAGAAATTGATACAGAAAAATAAGATTTAGTCTTCAAGAAAAAAAATTGTGATTAACAGGTTGAATACATATGTGCTGCTTAATTTTTTTGTGAAAAATGTGATCCATTTTTTCAGGATTATTGATGAATATAAAGCTCAAAAGAACAATATTTATTTGAAACAGAAGTCTTAAAAGAACATCATAAACATCTATGCTGCCATTTTTGCTTACATTATTGCATGCTAAACAAAAGCATTAGCTTGTTTAAAGAAGAAAACTATAAATATAACTACAGTTGAAGTCAGAATTATTAGCCCCCTTTGAATTTTTTTCCTTTTTTAAATATTTCAAGAGCAATGAAATGTTCACAGTATGTCTAGCTATATATTTTTTTATATATTTTTTCGATAGTCAGCAGAACAACCCATCAATATACAATAATTTGCCTAATTACCCTAACCTGCCTAGTTTAACGAATTAACCTAGTAAAGCCTTTAAATGTCACTTTAAGCTGTACAGAACTGTCTTAAAAATGCCTAGTAAAATTTTATTTACTGTCATCATGGCAAAGATAAAACAAATCAGTTATTAAAGATGAGTTATTAAAACTATTATGTTTTAAGATAAAATCTTTTCTCCGTTACACTGAAATTGGGGAAAAAATAAATGGGGTGCTAATAATTTAGGGGGGCTAATAATTCTGACTTCAACTCTTTATATAACAATTGCCACTATACGGCATCGTATTCTGCACATAATAAAACAAATCAACTCTTCTTTTATCCACATGGACTCATATATTTTTTCTCAACATGCATCCACATCTTTTTTAAATTTCAATGCTTGCTACAAAATATATATTAAAAAGTATGCTTATAAAAATATTGGTAATAATAAATAAAGAAATATTTACCATATAGAATGACTATGACAGAAATCCAAGGCAGATATGATTTGTCTGAAGAACTTTCGTGCCTCTTTAGGGGTCAATCTGCCTTTCTTAACCAGGTAGTCGAATAACTCCCCACCAGATACATGTTCCAGCACTAAATACCTGACAAAAGAAGACGATTATAAAACACATGCATGCATATAGAAGCATATAAAATATATTACACACAAGCACACCACAAGAGAATGCAGCAGAGTGTAGGTCTAGACAAGAGACAAGAGAGGACAAGACAAGACAAGGCCAGGCATGCTTCAGATGTGTGCAGAAACAGAGCAGTACTTACAGATATTTGTTATTCTCGTACACATCATACAGTTTTAGGACATGAGGGTGTTCTATTAGTTTAAGAATAGCTATCTCTCTCTCCACCTGCAGAAACGGGGGGAGCGGGGAACATCCAATGAGTGTCGAATAGAGAAAAGAAGCAATTTGTTGTAGGAAAACACCAAGGAAAGACGATTACTCTTAATTAGAAGTGAAATAATTCAGTCTATGTATTAACAAGAGTCTAAACATCAACAGCAGACATGGACAAAAATGCCTTAGCAAGGGGAGTCTTTAGTGCAGAACATTAGGACAGATGCAGAATAAACTGTGGTTAATAAAGCAGTTGGAGTTTTGCAGCTGCTGTGTTTTTTTTAAGGTAAATAAGAAAGTTCTGCGTAAGCGCAAAAAGACTGAGAGAAACTACAACTTTCAGATGTTTTAGTTGTAAATTCGCTGTGTGTCAACTTACTTTCATAAGAACAGACTCTGATAGCTTTTCTCTGTTAACTATCTTTATGGCCACCTTCTGTGTTGTGATACAGTGAACTCCTAACTTCACCAGACCTGCAAGAGGAGCACAGATGGTCACCTTTCATTAGATGCTTATGTCAAATCAGATGAGAGGCCCTTGTGGAAACTTAAAATGTACATCTGCAATGTTCAGACTGCAAAATAGTATGCAATCAATGTGCATTTACAAACTCGTACATGAAATGAAAAATAATATTGACTCATGCACTCTTTAAAAAATATCAGAAAAACACCAGGGCATATTGTTGTAGACGATAACATATATTGTTAATGAGCAGCCTCTTTCAGTTGCCAAAAATAATCAACCTCTTAATGTAGATCTATATCAATCTAGTGTACATTCACATTTAACTTACTATGTATTGGCAAAAATGATCTCTAAAGCGTTTGAATTTAGAACAGTCATCGTCATTCCTTAAAACTATAACTAGTATACGTATTATTGGTAATACTGACTAGCTTTACTATCTAATCTAGTTAAAGTCTAAATTATCTGCCCTCCTGTGAAATTGTATTTCTTTTTCAAATATTTCCTAAGTGCTGTTTAATAGAGAGATTTAGTCTTTTCTATGACATTGCATGAAATGTACTACTTGTTTTGCAAGATACTAATACACAGCTTAAATTTGGTTTCAACAGCATGGACCACGCCACACTTTGAGCTAGACTTTATTGTAGGGATGAAAGGAATAGTAAGGGAACAGTTAGATGAAGGGGAAGGGAAATTAGAGGATAATTAGTGAACAGGTAGGTAGGTTGTTCGGGTGTCCTACGATGATGCTCAGAGATGCAGAGTGGGGGTGCCGTCTCTGTAATAATTTGGTAGAGTAATTGGACCCCCCATTTCAACTTAGGAGGGAAGAGAGGGTTATAGGATTGTTATTGGGAAGCGAGAAAATAGAGAACGGGAGGGTGGATTTGACAGAATGAGAAGAAAAGTGCTAGAAGTAAGGCTGGGCGGTTAATCGAAAAGTTTTCGAAGTCAACATTCAGAATCTATAATTGATCTAATTTTTCAGGTCAATTTTTTCAGTTACTTTCCCTGCCATGTGTGGAGTTAAATGACCCCGCTCTGTTAAGGCTGAATTATACTTATTATATTCGGATTTATACTTGTTATATTATTATGATAGTCCAGCGCAGCCTTCGCATACCCGCGGACCTCTCAAAGAAATTTACTTACACGTCACAACAACGCATAGCGCCAGCTTTGTGATTGGTAGGTTTGGTATCGGTGAAGACGGGGGCAGTGCAGAGAGCCGCAATTTAGGCAATGAATGTTTTAATTTCAGTTGTTCAGAGTTGGTGTTCAATAAATAATCAAAGATAGCAGATAGAGTGTGTTTACTTTAATTAATTTAAAATCAAACAATGCACACTACATTCAAAAATGTCTCATTTATAATATGTGAGCATATTTACTGTACAAAACTTATCAGTGAACTGTGAGGGCAAAACGAGTTAAAATGTAATCGAGTTAAAGTATTCAATTATACGAGATTTTGATTTTAGGCCAAATCGCCCAGCCCTAGCTAAAGGACTGGTCTGCCTTAAATGATGTTTTAGGGAGTGGTTGATTGGTTAAGAAGATAAAGTAAGGCGTGGTTCCTTTGTTAACAAGTTAACTCCATTAATTGGACAAGTCATTGGACAACAGTGGTTTGTTTTGCAGCCAATTGAAAACAAATCTTAATGGGGCTAATGATATTGAGCCTATAATATTTATTTTTACTAAAAACTACACTACAAAAAAAAAGTTGACTCAACTTAAAATTTTAGGGCAACCAACTTCAGGACATTTTTGAGTTGACTCAACTTAAATTGAGTCAAGTGCAGTACTTGGGTTGAAAGTTGAGTCACGGCAAAAATTCGGCAGCAAGCTGTCTTAAAGTTTTGAGTTGATGCAACTTTTCAAAGTGTATTTTAAAAAATAACAACAAAACAAAAATAAATAATAGGAAATGCTGTGAAAATGTCATTGTTGTGTTAAACATCACTTGGTAAATGTTTTAAAAAGAAAAAAATATTTCACATGATGGCTAATAATAATCCTATGTTGTGTATTCAAGGTGTTGCACATTTAATTGAACTACTGGCGCTTACTAGTCATTATAACAAGGCAAAATAAGTAATTGTAGCTGCCTGGTGTAAAAGGAAACATTGCAAAAATTAGATACACATAAACCTAGTATTATATTAATTATCACTAGAACCACTAGAACCTTTTGATCAGTTTCTAGCACATCTGGAGTATAGGCTTTAGCAACATTGGAGACACATCCCAGCAAGCATTTTTTTGTTTTTAAAAGATGTCTATTAGATGTCTAATAGACATCTAAACATAGCTGTCTTGGCTAAAACAGGGCTAAATTTGAGCTGTCGGAAACGTCTAAGAATAGGCCAAAACTAGACTAGTCCTCAAATAAACAGAAATGAATGACTACACATATAAAGTCTGTCTAATCTGTTTATTTGATGACTAGTCTAGTTTTGGGCTATTTTTAGATGTCTAGATTTTCACTGAGAGCGCAAGTTTAGCCTTGTTTTAGCCAAGATGTCTATGTTCAGATGTCTATTAGATGTCTATGAAACACTAATATGTTTGCTGGGATTTTATTCAGCAATATACAGTTATTCAATTAGCAGATTCCCATAGATTTTATTGGCAAAAGCTTTAATACAAATAACAATGAAGTATCTAAAGTATTATTAAAGCAAAATAACAAGTTTTAATAACAAAAGTTAGTGATTGAACTTCTAGTGTAGGCCTGTGATAAATAAAGTTAGCAGGTAGGCTATTCACAACTACCAACATAAATAGATACAGTTGAGTATCTGTCTTTACAGTCTTTAGATATAAAAGTACAACAGCTTGCAGTCACATTTAAGCTTTGAACCAGTACTAATGAATCACTGCCACATATATGACTCAAAAACAAAACGCCAGAGAGATGAAATAATCATCCTCCCTCAAACACTGCCCTTATGCTGTCACTTGCCTCCGTGCCTCATTTCATTTCATCAGCTGAAATACCCCTGCACACACATTAACCGCTTTGCTTATTGCCGAATCCACCTTTCAATAGATTAATTCTTTAATGAGACGCGCGAAGTAGAGCAGAATTTATTCCAATGCATTAACTGAGTGCTAATATCCCGCAGAGGAAATGCTCTTACCTGTCTGGCCCTTCCCCAGCGTCTTTTCCAGTCGGTAGGGCCCGACATACTGAGCTGCCTGACTCCCCGACAGCTCCTTACTGGACATTGCGTTCGTTTTGTGTCACAATATAAAGGGGGTAAATCAGTGTATTTTCACAATGTATCCACTGGTGTCTGTCCTGCTCACGTAATAGCTCCGCCGTACAGACATCACAGACGGTGAGCGATGATGACACAGGGATGCTGAGGCGTGATGTCAGTGCCGTGGCCTACTCCCAAACATCTGCCGTCTCCTTAAAGTTCCCGCTAATGCATCTTTTACCTCAGATAAATCAGAGATTAAAAAGTGGTTGCGTGTCCGGTCGAGCATATACGTCTAGCTATAGCTGTTATAGAGAACTGCGCGGCCAGTGGGGTCTGTTGAGGGGACACGACCAGATCTGTCAGCATATGGGCCGATACTATAGGACTACATCAGATAATAGCTGTGAAATGAGGATGGAGACTTATGACTGATAAAGATAGCAGGGATATTAGGAAGCCTGCTCGAGTCATCAGTTCATTCTCACCGGTAATGTTATCTCTTTATGAATATATTCATGGAAGTGGAAGTGACCTATTTATTAAAAACTTGGCCACATCTATCCTGCGAAAGAGGCGCACATCCGGTCTGTTACACCTTGCGCGTATTATTCTGACCGCGCTTCGGTGTCTCCTTCACTCTTCAAAGTGTTTTGTCTGATTTGGATCAATCTGAGGACGTGAAAGAGGAGCGTCCCGTGCCCGTCATATAAACTACGATATCTTCCAGGCCTCACATCCGGAAATACAGGAGAATTGTACGGGAGAAAACAGCCACCCTTTCGCGAAAGAAAGCCTCAGTGTCTTCCGTCACATGAATCCGCCAGCGAATCCGCCGCGCGCGTGCCAAGTGTGCATTGCGCTATTGTCAGCTATGGTGTCGGCGCAGAAATCCCGTGCTTTATTCGTTACGGAACACATTCCTGGTCAAAAAACAAGCATCTTTAACTACCGTAGGAGCCTCCTCTCCCCCTCCCTCTCCAGCTCGCTATGTGCACATCACAGCATCTCCTCTCGCTCTCCTCCCGTCACCTCGGCTACCGCGCGGCCACTCATTCTCTCCGCGCCGCGTTTACGGTCGCTTGAAAACCCCTGGTGTTAATCCGTGCGCTTTGGGTGCCTTGCGACCGCAAGGGTAGCAGTCCCTCTGTCAGTGGGGCCTTTCTCTGTTTTCTAGCTCTCACTCTCCCTGTATTCCTTCTCCCCATCCGACACGAGCAGCATCAGCATCCGGGTTCTGCGCCGCTTGCGTCCCCTCCCTTACGCGATTCCCATCGAACATGCTCGTCACAGACCCCCACCCCATTTCCGCCACAGAGCACGTCCCTCACATCACTGGAACTATTACTGCCAATGGACGCATCTGACACATTGTTATAGATACGTTTCCACATCATTTGTTTTCATAATATTTGTGGACTGGCTGTCCCATATCTGCCTAGTTGCTGTTTTTCTGTTAATGAAACTTGATTTATTCTATCTTTCTATATTTCGTCACCGAATAAGGTTTTATCTGACATTTTTGTCAAAATTGAGTTACTGACATCTTCTTATTAAATGACAACTTATTTACATTATGGGATGTTCTTTTATAAGTTGTTTACATTTAAAAAACTTTTATTTAAGAAAACAAATGCTACACACATACTGTTTGCTATGGAATGCAAAAACTTTGAATTCAACATCTTAAAATGATTCAGAACGTAGATAAAACCTTATAATTCCGAGGTGACGATTTGTCTTCTTCAGACACATACGCTTCTGTTTGCCGAAACATACATAGCAGGCCTGGTAAAAGGGGTTGCTCTTTTTTCCTCAAAAAGTGGATGTTTTTGCAGTTATTTGTGAGATTTAAATAACGTTACTTCATTTTAAGCACTATTTTTTAGCTGAATTGTCGGATGATCATCATAATCACACTTTTTGATGTACCAAATAAGTATATTAAAGATTTAGAATAAAGAAATGTGAAAAAATACTTTTTTAAATACCAATTTATCACATCATATATCATCAGACAAAAAGGGAATCTGTTAAAGTTTTATATTAAGAAGGGAAGCCTATTGTCATTTATTAGGCAAATAACAAACTTTTTTTCAACAGCTGGACGTTGGACTTATGAAAAATATTTCTTAGCATAGGTCAAAACTAGCTGAAATCACACTGAAGTTGGATTCCTCTTAGTCTTGAAGCCTTTTTTCGAAGGTTTTTTCACTATTTATGTTAAAACAGGACAAATTAGCTCATTATGGGACAAATTCTGGACCTTTGTCAATGAGGGGTGGGTCTTTAATTTTGTTGTATTAATATTAGTATTGGGGTGGGTCTATTATTATGTATTTATTTTAGCATTTTAATCAGCCTAAAGAGATGCATCCAAAAATTTAAATATTCTCATCCCGTAACAAACCTTAACTGTTTGAACACATATAAATAAAAAAAACAAGCAAACAGTATCTTCTCCATGGTGACATCCATATCTATAAAAAAGAAAAAAAAAAGAAAAAGAAATAAATAGCCTACAACAACTCTTTGGCAAATAAACAATGCAAATATTTTCTTTTTGGGGTGAACTATAACAACTATCCTGTTTTTATGGAAGCTGTTGTCTAGCTGCTGTCTAATGATATGATATTTATGTAGAACAAAATACAATCATATTCATGCACAGAAAAATGCAAAAAATCACATTGAATAAAACACGTTTTTTTTAAGCAGAAAAACTTAAATAATATTCTTTATATTAATAACTGTGACTAATGACAAGCCCTTATGAAAATCAGCCATGGTTTTCAAACTGTAAAAGTGTCCACATTTTATTTAGAAGAAGTTTTTGTTATTTGTGTAATTTGTAGCCTACCTTTTATAGAGTTTTACTATGAATGCCATGTTAAAACTATACCCAGTTTAGCAAAACCCTGGTGAATTTGTGGTTACCATAGCCATAATTACCATATTTAACAATAATTTTGTTGGTGGTTTTTCTTTGTTTTGTTGTCCTCTCACTGGAAAGAGAAACTTTTTATTTAAAAAAATGAAAGCACCGTCCATGCAGTTCAATGTGTGAACACAAGATGGAAGTAGAGACAAAGACACAGTGTTCAGCATGGAAGAGGTTACTGAAACATCCCAACAATCTAATGCGCATGTATGTTGGGCTTTGTATTTTGTAACCTTACCTAGAAACATTTGTCATTGCGAAATGTGTTATGTATCGTCTTGTGCCAGATTCTGCCTGTTTAGGCTACCAAGCAGATTCGGTGCAGACAGCACGGGTTACTGGTCTAGCTTTTTTGAGCTCATACTGTATTTCTAAAGTAATTTTTCCGCAAAGAACTGCACTCAAAAGAGCGTGTGTACATTTGCATCTTTTGTGAGTGAATGCATGCACATATCTTACATTTTCTGGCTAGACCCAGATGTTTTAATATCCTGTGTTATGTGTAGAGATCAGCGGATGGATTCCACAAGGATTTACCTGAAATTCCTCTCAGCACTTTCATTTTGCTCCTCACGCGCTACTTTTCAAAGTCAAACACATTCGATGACCTTCAGGGTCCTCTTTAACTTTGCATTGACAAATATTCCTACCTGTCTGGAAGCATTCAGAGCAAGCTTATAACAAAGGAAAACATCTGTAGACCCTCACTCCTCCTATAGTGCCCAGAGGCGAGACTGCAGATCTTTTGACCGGATGTAGGAGATTCCGGCAAAGGCCATTTAAGTCGAAGTTTTATAACTTTTTCTATATTTCAGATTTCACATTTACGTTATATTATTTCATTTTATTAATCATTTAGGATATGCATGTGTTAATGAGCGAAAACATTCAGCCCATTTTGTATTAAGCAAACTGAAAGGTGACTATTCATGACAAACCTGTTAACCGCCATGTTTCACACCCACACACCCCAGCCCCAGGGATTCTTTTTTAAACTAGAAGCGGCCTAAACACTATATACTTTATTAGACTTTAAGTAAATGTTATTAAAGACTTGTAGTAAACATTTGCGTAATCAATAACATAATAGGTAAGTCGAAGGTAGTCGGTATTAGCATATTTTATGTATCTGTTCGTTTTTTCTGAAATATTAGGCAAGCGAAAATGACAAGGCTTTTGCATTGAGCTTGCTTTGTTGTTGTTTTGGACCCTTAATATTACTCTGTATAATCCTTAGTACTGCATGTGTGAGTGTAATACAAACCCTGGAGATTTCTTTGTCTTGGTTATAGTACAAGTCTTCACACTTTTAGCTTGCTTCTTTCCTGGATCAGTGCATGAAAGGGCTTAAGATCTGATTGATTGATTGACTGGTGAGATAAGTGCTTTTGGGGATTTGAGTGGGTGTATTTGTGTGCATCTTAATGAGTCAAAGTGAGGAGTTTAGAGTATTAGTGACATCGGAAATCTTAATCTGCTTCTTTAGTTCACCTAAACCCATTACAAATGCCTACATAATCCTTGCCAAGCAATCCACTTTACTGAAGCCATCTAAAGTTTTGGACTATATAAAACCACAGGGACTCGCTGGAAGTCACTTTTGGCAAAACAAGATATGCTAAGTGAATACATTAAAACCGTTTTTTGCACAAACAATGTGAACAATTCAGTTATACACATTGGACCATTTTAAAATCTTTATTCCATTTTGTAAGCATCTGAGACACATCATTTACATCAATTCATGAGCTCCGAACGATCTACAAATCAGATCAATACAATCAGCCACAAAAAGGGGAGGGAAGGTTGGTGGTAGAAGGAATCCATTTAAGCTTCACAGGAGGGGTGGAGAAGGGAAGAGACACAAGAATGGTCTCTGCAGCCAAACCCCATCATTTAGTCCAGTGCCATGAGCTGCAGGGAATGCTGGGAAGGTGGAGGACTCAGTGCAGTTAACCCCTGGGAAGAAACAAAAAAAAAGACAATCTTATTCATTTTTGTTATGACAGCTACAAAATGTAACAATTCAATGAATGTTTTCAGGAATACAATATATCTGCATCATATTTTATATATGTTTACAGAAGACATTGATTAAACGAAATATATATGTTCTCAATTTTAACACTAGACAAAATGGTTTTGAGGCAGTTTACACATTCAAAACAACTCATTAAGTTAAAATAACAAAAAAGAATCCAGTTAATGTGGTTTCACTCATTACAGAAACAAAAAACATTTAATGCCTGGTGTTACATCCCATTTACCCTAAATTTATTGTTGTACATTATGTGTTAGCATGGGTTTCCTCCCAAAGACATGCGCTATAGGTGAATTGGGTAACCTAAATTCTCCATTGTGTATGTGTGTGAATGAGAGTGTATGGGTGTTTCCCAATGATGGGTTGCGACTGGAAGGGCATCCGCTGTGTAAAACATATGCTGGATAACCTGGTGGTTCATTCACTGTGGCGACCCCTGTTTGATAAAAGGACTAAAGCTGCAGTCACACTGGACTTTTCTCCCCATAGACTTCCATTCATGTGTACGCGAATGCGTCAGACCGGACTCGTGCGGCAGGTTTCGCAGTTCGCTTCGTTGGAAAGTTCAAGTTTGGTGAACTTTGACCTGCGTAAATCGCATCACATGATTCCGTGAGACCAATCAAAGATCAAAACATGACCTCTGGACAGAAATTTAAAATAAGGATCAATCTTTGTTTTTTTTATACCTAATCAGCTTATTATTTATTACCGCCCCTTTTTCGTAGCGCCATACAACAGAATTTCGTATTTTCAAACTCTATTGTGACCACAGCTTAAGGCAAAAAGAAAATGAATGAAGAAATGTTGTGTTGTGTTTGGTTTGGTTTCTTCCTCTCACTCTCTCTATTATCTGTTCCTCAACTAGTGTAAAGGAGAGGAAGTTGATTAATTGAGTCTGCTTCTCATTGCAAGCCACATTGAAGCTTGCTTCCAGAGTGTGGTCTCTCTCCTGCCTGTTGTGTTGTGAAAGGTAATTGTTACTAACTTATTGAAGTTAAAATTTGTTGTAAAGGATTTGAAACTGCTTAAACTCTGCTTTTGAAACTTAAGATTGTGTTTAGAAGTCGTATAGAGGTGTGTGCCATTTTATGTCACAAGTGAAGTTTATTCTTAAAGTAATTTCAAAAGGATCACGTGCTTATGGTTGCTTGCAGCTGCTCCGCATTATACAATTTATGATTCACCAATCAGACGATTCCTAAGCCACTATAAGTGCCCTAAGTTTCATACCAGAGACATAGGCTGAGTCCAAAACCACCTACTACTCAGTAGGTAGTACTGCATTTCAATT